GTCCAAGCTAAATAAGCGAAGGATCTCCGTGTGGGTGGCCCATAAGTCCACCGCAGTGGCTGCAGTTCAATAGAGAAAAAGAAAAGAAAAGAAATTAAATAGGGAAGTACATGGTCTCTAAGGCTTATGACTGAGACTCCGGTTGATGATGATCACAGCTGGGCAGAGTCTCCTTGGGGGTTGTCCATAAGTTCGATGAAGTTTCCAGTCTCCAGATTCCAGCTCTGAAATGTAGAGTAAACACGAAATTCTTACAATTCAAATCTGGGTAGAACAATTTATTGGTATTTCTTGTCACAAAGGCAAAGCTTGGTTTCTCCCGTTGGTTCCCCCATAAAGCTGTCAGTTTTTCTACCTATAGCTAAGCCTAATAATGATCCAAATATGGAATATCATACCTCGATGACCTTGTTTTCTTGTTATTTCAACATCTTTAAAACCTTTCTAACCTATAATTATTCCTTAACACCTACATAGAGGGTATCAAAGGAAGGCTTCTGCCTTTGCCGCCTTGACAGGGCTGAGAAGTGGGAGGGCTAATCTATGGATACCCACAGCCAGGGGGAACCCCCGAAAAAAAAAGAAAAAACCCAACAGCCAGCAGCCAGCAATGCCGAATGTGGAACATGCTGCGTCAAGGCATTTTTGTGGCCAAAGTCGGAAAGTCTGAGCTGAGCGAAGAGCAGTGAACGTAGCAAAAACGGGTGACTGAGCGTAACTCAAGCGGCAATGGTAAGAGAGGGTGGTGGTGGTGGTGTTGCAGGAGGGGGTGGGAGAAGTACCTCCAGGCAGGAGCACTGGCACGACAGCAACAATAAGCAGCAAAGGACAAGCCAGCAACAACAACAACAACAACTAACTAGAGTAATAACAACAAACAGACATGGGGGGAAAAAAAGTGGGGGAAAACTACAAGATGGGAGAGGGGTGCAGGGTGCGCTAAGGGGGTGCTGGAACAGAAATTCTTTTGAAAACTCTTTCACAGCAATTTCGCCAATCTTTTCTGTCTCTTCTTGTCTGGCTTTTTTTTTTTTTTTTTTTTTTTTGCCAGTACTTTCTCTTTCTTACTTTCTTTTCTTCTTCTTTTTACCGCCCCTTATTACATGTCTCGAGCTTCATGGCAGGAGCATCCAATTAAGGGGCGTCCTAAGGATTCGGCAAACTAGTTTTCAATGTTCACTGGTGTGCCATACACACACACACAGAAAGACACAACAAACACACACAGAAAGACAGACACAACGCAACACACCCACCCACACAGCCACCTAATACAACACAACACAACACAACACAACCACAAAAAGCCACAAAAATCATACACCAAACTGATTAAAAAATAAAAACTATGCAGAAAGCGAGAGGTGAGAGAGTATCGCCTGTTCATAAAACCATGAAGCCTGTTAACTTTTTATACCCGTTACTCGTAGAGTAAAAGGGTATACTAGATTCGTTGAAAAGTATGTAACAGATAGAAGGAAGCTTTTGCGACCCTATAAAGTATATATATTCTTGATCAGGATCAATAGCGAAGTCGATTGAGCCATGTCCGTCTGTCCGTCCGTCCGTCCGTCCGTCCGTCCGTCCGTCCGTCCGTCCGTCCGTCCGTCCGTCCGTCCGTCCGTATGAACGCTGAGATCTCAGGAACTATAGCAGATACAAAGCTGAGATTAAGCATGAAGATTCTTGAGGTCCCGGGACAGCGCAAGTTTATTACAGCATCCTGCCACGCCCACTCTAACGCCCACAAATCGCAAAAAACTGAAATTGCTGAAATCTCAGGAACTATTGCAGATAGAAAGTTGAATTTCAGAAAGTATAATCTTTAGATGACAGCGCATCTTATAGTGGTACTACTATCCGGCCACACCCACCCATACGCCCACAAGGCTCAAAAGACCGTTTTCGGATTTTCTAGAAAAGCTGATATCTCGGTAACTATAAGAGATAGAAAGTTCGGATCAAGCATGTATGTTTCTATGATGCTCCCAATGCGAATTGTTTTTTTCCGATCACGCCACGCCCACTCTAACGCCCACAAAACCCGAAAAACCAAAAATGCAAAAATCTCGAAAACTATAAAAGCTACACAATTTTACTTAGGAACACGTATTTAAGAGATGCCTTTGCAACTTGCCACGAAGTTGCTTCCGGCCACGCCCACTCTAACGCCCACAAACCGCGGAAAACTGTGGAGTCTATAATATTATTATGAATGCCTTCGTTTGACCTTTTGTAACTTATTTCTGTTAATATCTATCGATTTACAAAAGATTTTTTTAAATCGGAACATTTTTTCGCTATTTATGAAGAAATTAAGGTTATAAGGCTCCACATGGGCAGTGACGTCACTATAAGCATACTCAACATACTTCCTCTGACAATAGGTGGCGCCTTGTGAATTTCCACTAGCAAAATTAATATTTTAAAATTGTGTAAAACAGTAACGGGTATCTTATAGTCGCGGCACTCGACTATAGCGTTTCCTCTTGTTTAATCTAATGAACTAAAAAAAACAAACACAAAAACAAAGCAGAAGGAGAAGAAGAGAGGGCGAGAGGAAAAGAAAGATAGGTTATATAAATTGAAAGGCAATGCTATATAGATTCATCTTCAGTTTGCATCGCTTCTCTGTTTGGGTTCTAATTAAGAGCTTGGAACAGCATTTAGAGTAATCAAGCTAAGGCAGAGATCAGCCAGAAAGGGTTTGGATTTCTTTAGAAATACTTTTTTTTTTGAAAATAAAGTTAAGGCTTCAGAGGTTTCATAGCTTTGATTTTTAATAGATTTAGTTAAGAATAATAGTAATAATTGATTTAATTTAATAATTAAAAATTATAGCATTTTGTCCATAATTAAGCCAATTATGATCACAATATGGAATGTAAGACCTTATTGAGCTTGTATTTTAATTCCTTATAAAACTTCTTTCAAACCTAATTGATTTAATTTAATGAAAATTAATTTAAAAGAAATGTAGGGTGGCCCATGTAAGATTTGCGTATTAAAATCGCTATAAAATTATTAATATTTCCCAATTATCCTTCACAATTTTCGTTTCACAAACCTTCTACTAAATATCTGACACATTGACAATGACATTCGAAAGTCAAAATTACCGATAGTTCAAAAAGCAAATGCTACATGGGTCACCCTATATTAGAAAATTTATGTGGAGTAAGTCTTAAGACTTCTTTGAGAGATTTTTCAAAGTTGATTTGGGTTAACTTACTTCCTTTTATAGAAAAATTGGTCACTTTTTAGTAGGTTTTAAATTAAAAATATATAAATTTTTCTTAATTTTAAATTATATCACTATCAAATTGTCTTTAAGTTAGCTAGCAAATAAACTTATATTTTATAGATTTTACTTTATTTTTAAATATTTTTCCCTGATTTTTAAAGTAAAAAATAAAGTTAACTTTTGTAAAAGAAAAAAGTAATTAAAATATATTTAAAAATCTCAAAATTAAAGCTACATTTTTATAAGGAAATATCATAAAAATGTATATTAAAATTTAACATTTAAGGCAACATTTTACAGGGAAATAGCTTAAAAAAATATATTCAAAATCTCTGGCTAATATAAAATAAACCCTCCTTAGCCCAAGAAAGAAAAACCTTTAAAAAAAGAACGAACAAAAATCTACAAAAAACCAACAAAAAACCCTACCCAAAACCACCCACAAAACTTATCTAGCCACCCTCGTTTCGCGAGCTTTGCCACTGACCTACTTACCGAAAAATGGCTGACTCGGCGCGGGAATGGAAATGCGGAAAGGCGGAACGGCGGAACAGAAAAAGAAAGGCAAAGGCGGGAAGGGAAGCTAAAGCTAAGGAAAGGAGGCGACGGCGACGGCGGCGGCGGAAAAGCAGGTCTGCTGTCTGCTGAGCCAAAGGAACACACTCTGTCTATGTGCTCGTCGTTTGTTTGATCTGCTTTTGGACGGGAACGTGGACCTGGACTCATCGTTGGCATTTCGTGAGGATGCTGCCATGGCCGGCACATGCCCCGCCATCATGCTGATGCCAAAAGCTGAAAAGTCGCGTCGCAAGGCGACAATAATTGGCGCAAGGTGGCCCAGTCAAGGAAAAACACGCAGCCACACGGACGTAGCAAAAAAAAAAAGAAAAACAGACAGACAGACACTTAAGGCGGCTCACCAGGCAGGGCACAGGACGATGGAGGGAGGAATGTACTCTGACTGACAGAGATGACAATCAACAAAAGGACTCACATATACATACACTAACACACACACACACACACACGACAAAAATGACAGGAAGCAGCAATGCCAGCAACGCTGACTGCAACCGAAATCAAAATCAAAATGAGAATCGCAAAATGCAAAATGTAAAACGCCGCAAATTGCTTGTAGGCAACGCAGACAACAACAACAGTAACGACAACGCTGGCGACGGACGGATGGCAAAATGGAAATAGAAGATGAACGGAAAAAGCGAGCGGTACAATGATGAAAAGCGGTTACTCTCTAGGGAAAAGTAACTGGACTTACAAACAGTTTATTTTAGTCAAAGGAAATTAAAATTTCATAAGAAGAACGTATTTTTTTTAAAGATTATTATGTTCTATATAAAATAATGTTATTCAAAAGAAATTAATAAGACTAAAAGCTATTTAAGGCGAGCTAAATCTCAAATTTAAAATAAACCCAAAAAGTAGGCAACAAAATACGTTTAGGCAAAACTTCTTCAGTTTTCTTTTCAAAGAAAAACTAATTTCTACCTTTAAAAATTGTTTTAAGAATCCCAAAATATTTGTGACTTAACAACAATAAAAAATCTTCTATATTTATTAAAAATATTATCAAAAAAATTAAATTTCAAACATAAAAAAAAACAATCAAAATCTTTCTAAAAACCCAAACTATCCTCTGACACATTCTAAAATCTCTTCCAACCAAGTGAGCTCTATCTCTGACTGAATTTTTGCTCTTCTTTTGTTGGCCCAAAAAGGATGGGGAAGGGGAAAAGGAAGGGGAAACTGCAGCGAGGTGGCGAACACACTCACACTCACACACACACAGGCACAAACACACACTGTGTGACAGTGGAGAAAACAGGGTGAAGGACAATGCGTGCATAACGCTTATTGAAATAGTTCTCAAGTGAGTTCGACGCTGGCGTCGACGTCGTCCTCATCGTCAACGTGGGCTTGCCAAATGGGCCGAAAAAGGGGTGGCGGTAGAGCGGTAGGGCGTAGGGCGTAGGGTGGTGTAGTAAAGAAAGAAAGTGGCCTACAAGCTAGGCTGTATGTGTGTGTGTGTGTGTGTGCTAACTAGGAGGAGGCTGCCATTTAATGCCCAGAATCAGAATCAGAATCAGAATCAGAAGCAGTAACAGAACCGGTTGAGACAGCTGATATTTGCAGGCTGTGCAACTGTCTGGGTATTACACGACGACTGTCTCCCGCACTTCTACTACTTTCTACTCTCTCCTCCTATACTTTTCCACTTTCTCTTGCCGCCTTCTTTTTTTGCCATATCTGGGTGGGTATCTGGGTATCTGGCTGGCATTGCCGTGATTGTCAATACGCAATCCGTAATCCGGCGAAGGCTTAGGAAACCGAAAGAAGATAAGCAGCAGCAGCTTACCAGCAGGACGACTGCTGCTGCCAACTTTTCTGTGTTGGGTGGTTGGCAGGCAAGTGGGTGGCTCTGATTTTGATACTCATTCTGCAGCTGCGGCCAACGCCATCTCGCTGTGGTATTTATATTTGTTTTGATTTCATGCCCTGCTGGCTGAGCTCCAACCTGGACCAGATTGTTTGCCTACTACACCAGCCATCTCTCCCCTACCACCCCCTCCCTACCCTTACCCAAAGTTACATCACAAGAAGAAAAAAAAAACAGCCGTTACAGCCGCTGCAGCAGCTGCCATCCTGTTGATCAACCTTCTTGCATTCAAACAGGGAAATTTCATCCCCAAAAAATCTTCCCTACTTTCTCATTGAAAGCTCTCACTTTCAACTGACACTTTCAATCCCCTTTCAACTGCTATAAAAGGAGGTACACCAGCCAGTTGCCACTCAGTTGCTCGTGGGCAGTCGAACGACATGGATGTGTCGCAGCAGCAGCAACCTCAGCGCAAGAAGCAGCAGCAGCAGCCGCATCAAGAACAACAACAACAGCAACAGCAGCAGCAATAGTTTCCTTTAGCATTTGGACCGCCGAAACAGCAGCAACAGATCACACTGCCAACTCTTCTGATAATTTTTTTTTTTGCAAATTTTTTTTATTATTTTTTTTGTGGTTGCTGAAGGGCTTACAAAGAAAAAATAAAAAAACCAAAAGAAAGATAAAACAAAAGTGAAAACAGAAAGTTTTAGTGGATCGAACTTTGTTAGTGGTACTCAGAAAATTAAAAAACCAAAAGAAAAAAAACAAAAAATAAAAAACCAAAAATACAAAAATATATAAAAAACAAAACAGAGTGTGTAAAAGTGCGTGAGTTGAGTTTCAGTTCAAAAAAAAAAAGGGATTAAAAGGCGAGAAAAACTTTTTGGCGCACAAAAGTAGGCAACAGAAAGGCCAACTTTCGCTTTTCTGGGTAAGTGCAGTGTGTGAATGTGTTTCTGTCTGTGTGTGTGTGTGTGGCAAAGCCTTAAGCCCTTTGCCAAACTGCAACCGCTGAACGCATTTAAGTGCAGATTTATGTTACAACCTCACTCTCTCTCTCTCTCTAACAGATCGCCCTCATCTTGCACCACCCATCGCACCCACCGAGCGCAACACTGCCAATTAAAGTTGCCACAGCAGCTGCAACACACACACACACACACAGTCACTGCCAAAAAAGAAGAAGGCTAAAGGCTAAAGGCCAATGAAGAAGGAAAGACTTTAGCCAGCAGCTGAATTATATTCACTAGTAGCGAATAAGTTTTTCAAAGAACCACTGCCAAAAGGAACAACAAAGCTACAGAGCTACAGCCACAGCCAATAAAAACAACAACAACAAGAAAAGCAACTGGGACAGCAACAGCAACAACAACAAAAACAACAACAACGTGTTGCTGCCACAAAACGCAGCAGCCGCAACGAGAGCGTCATCTCTGCCCTTCGCACGCCTCTGCGGGTAAGTTGACATTTCATTTTCATTTTGAGTGCATTTTCCCGCCAACGACAATCCACCGCGCGCACGTCTCGTCGCCCCCTCCCCCCCTTTAACACGCCACCCCCTCTTCTTTCTTTTTTTTTTGTTTTGCAGGGTGTTCATGTGTGCGTGCTAGTGTTAGTGTTCGTATTAGTACTTCTGTTCGTATATCTGTGTATGCGTGTGAATGTGTTTGTGTTTGTGTCGGGGTCAGCGCGTTATTACAAGTTATGTCCCGTGCTAGCAGCTCGCAGCTAACAGCTCGCAGATTCAGATTCAGATTCAACAACAATGGCCCTGGGGGGGCCTTTCTCCCTTTCTCTGTGCCCCCCCTCCCTCCCTCTTCAACTATTTTCGTTCCAAATTCAAGTTGGAAAAAAAAGAAAGAGAAAAAAGTGAGTAGTAGTCTAGTACCCAAATCCAAACTGGCAGCAAAAGTCACGTTTGTCGAGAGTGGCAAAAGCGCAGCACAACATTATTTAAGAGCCAAGAACCCGCCAGTTGAAACTGACAAACTCCTGGGATGCCAGGCAACGAGCTTAAAATGTGTGGGTCAAATGTTAAACGGCCATCAGCGGCATCAGCTGGCAGCAGTTAACGGTGGTCCCCCGAGAACCAACCAACCAACCATCGAAATATGGACTGAGAATGGCCGGAAAAGCACGGCGAAAAAAAAGGAATAGTGATTGGAAAAACTAGAAAAATAGGAGAAAGTATAACTAAAACAAGCTTTTTAGTATATAATAGTTAATGAAATCACCAAAAAAGGTGTCTAAAAGGATGGCAAAATAGAAGTTAAAAACGAAAAAAAAAAAATAAATTTCCTCCTGAAGAAGAATTTGGCATTTTTCACTGCATACTTCTCGGCTTCTCCACTTCAAGTAGTGTCCTTAAGAAATAATTTTCAAACGCACTTAAAATGTATAAAAATTACACAAAAATTACACAAACCAACACAAAAATAGTTCAAAAATGTACAGACTATTTATGAAAAATCCATCCAGCCAAGTTACCTTCCCCTAACCACTCTATCATCCCCATTAATAAAGCCATCCATCCCCCTAAGATCTCAATAAGTTTCTCATGCTGAGACTAGTTTTCTTACCGTGGACTACACACGCACATTCTGGTGACCTGCCAGGACACTAAGGACACACACTTTGCATGTTTATCTCACGCTGTGGGTGGGTTGGTACAATCCCCAGCGGAATGGCCCATTGCCGTTAAGCAATTTCGATAACTGCCCAGCGAGCAACAACAACAACAACAACAAACTGGTCATGCCAATTTATGGCCAAAGTTGCTAGTCTCCTGCCTGCTGCCTGCTGGTACTGCTGCTGCTGCCTGATGCCTGATGCTTGCTGCTGTGCATACAAATGTAAATTTAAATTGAAAATTAATCGGGCAGCGCAGGCGCCGGCACTCTTTGTGATAAGTTTTCGATTAAAAACTCGTTTAGTTTTTGGCAAGCCATCAGGAAAAATAGGAAAAAAGAAATAGAAGAGGAAAAAAAGAAAGAAAGAAAAAAAAAAGAAAATATAGAAAAGCCAAAGCAAAGAAGTTCAAGTTTTCGGTTGCCTTGGGGTTTTAATTAAAAGCTTAATTGGAGGGCGGAAAAAATTAAATAAAATGATTGCGTAATTAAAAGCAAACAAAAAACTGAAACGACAGAAACGCCGAAAAAGGTGGTCGGTCAACAAACAGTAGCAGCAGCAAACAGCAGCAACAGCAGCAGCAGGAGCGGCCATGTCCTGCCAGGGAAATTAAAAACTTAATGGTCAGAAAGGACACACATGGGAGGCTGTCAACGCTCAACGACTTTGGCCAACAGATGGAACAAGTTTATCCTGCCATCGTTCTGGTTGAGTCTATCCATGTGTTTGTTGATTTTTATGGGTGGCCAGGCCAAGAGGCGGCAAGGGTGATTAGAGGCAGCAGCAGCCTCAAGCTACACAGATTGGGACAACTTTTCCACCAAGAAGACATATGTACATACCAAATACTAAACCTATTCGAAGTAAGCGAAAGTCTGATTTAAAATTAACAATGAATATTAATGAGCAGTGGGCGTAAAACAGATTTTTAGAGATTTAAAAATAGAAATTTGTTTAATTTTATAAAAAAATATCAAAAAATATCTTAGGTAAACTTCCTTGATTTCCAAACCTTTTCCTTGAATTTTCCCTCTTCTTTAAATTATATATACAAAAAAAACATTTACAATTTTCCCTGCTTAAACCCACTGTCCTTGGCTTTTTGCCTTCAACAGGATTCTGGGAATCTACTTAAACTTTGTCTTGAGTTGATTTCCTTTTACAGTTTGCTCATTCTTGTTGCTGCAAAAACTTAATTTGCTGTCTGTCCGTGTGTCTGTGTGTGTGTGTATTAGTGTATTATGTACACATGTATGTGTGTGCATATCCTGGCTGACAGGGCTTGTCCAGCCAGCTAGCTAGCTGCTAGCCTGTCACTAGGGCCACATCATTTTGGGTTTGTAAATTAAAGAGCCAGTCGAGTAGAACCAGCAGAACCGCCCAGAAAATCGAAAAATCGAAAAGGAAAAAAAAAAAAAACGTGGAGGAAAACTGTCCACTCACACAGGCATATGGCATATGGCATGGCCAAGGCACAACACACACACACACAGCTACACACACATGGATATTCATCTATGTCGCACATCGTTAAGCGCTGCCAGTTTGACTTAATTTGCGTTAAACTTTTTTGTTAAACATATCATTCGTTTGCCAGGCCCCGGCCGCAAATATGTGGAGGGGGTTGGAGGGTTGGGGGGTTGGGTTGTGGAAATTCAAAAGGGAAAAGGGCGGGCAGGCGACGACTCTGGCTGGCAGGCCCCAAAAGAAAATAACCAAAACGTGAAGCGGGAAATGTAAACAAAGGCATTAATCATGCCAGCACACATGCGGCAACAGACAGGGATAGAGATAGATGGATCGCTGGTGGCAAAAAAAAAAAACGAAAGCGAAGAAAAGGGGGGAAAAAATCGGGAAAAACCCCTAGCAGGTCCATTAAGCCATGCTTCGGTTTTGCCTTGGCTTGGCTTGTCTTGGCTTTGCTTTGCTGTATGTCCTGCGTTTCGGTGGAAAGATAAACAGGCCAAGTCACTCTCACATGGCATTTGTCCCCACCCCCCTTAAACCAACCCCGGAGCAGGGCACCACCATCATGTTTGTTTAAATGACAAACTGCTGTTTGTTAACCGAATAAAATGGAAAAGCCAAGCCAAGAAAAACTACAGAAAAGAACAGAGAAAAACTAAAACGAACAAGGAAAGGAAATGTAAAATGTAAAACAAATCCCTGGAAGGATAGAGAGAGAGAGAGGAAGACAAAACAGCTGACATCAAGAGGGGCAGAACTTGCCCATCAAGCAAACCGAACCGATCCGGGCTTCTATTTATTCACCCAGCAAACTAAACCGCAATAACTGTAAGTGCTCGGCAAACAGCAGCGGCGAAGAGAGCTCGAAAACCAAAAACTAACAAGCGACAGTTGACAGTCGACACCCACAACCAGTACACCCACACGCACACACACAGAGATAGCCTGGCACCACCCTTAAGAACCATCCTATACCGAGGCAGTCGTGTGTGTCGGACGTTGGTCTGGCGAATTATTATGATAATCGCAGGCATAAATTATGCCAGAACGCCAGAGAACGAGGGAAAAACACAGACTCCCACCCCCTCTATTACTGAACACCTTGTCATACAGTAAACACTCTCGACAGTAGAAACCACACACACATTCCTGGTATTCGTCGAATCCCCTTGGTTTTGCTACCTGCTTTGGCTGTGTTGGCTTTTATGTTGTGCCTTGGAGAAATTAAGTTTGTGTCATGTTTGTGTCACCGCACAAAGGTGTTTCGAGTGCCATTTTCAGCTTTGCTAGCGTATGCCTCACAGTGCGTATGCGTGATATATGCAAATCTACGTCCATTGCCCATACGCCCAATGTGGCCAACGCAAAAAAAGCGCTGCATACTTTCGAGCTGCAACCCGAGGCAGCAAGTCGAGCTGCTGCTTTTTTGCTTTTTGTTTTTCTTTTCACCATTTTGACACAAAGCCATTAACGCTGGCGCGCTGTTTGCCCTTAAAGCTCAGTCCTTATATATATACTTATTTTTTTTTAGCCAACATTCCCGCTTGTTTGCTGGCTTGGGGGCAATTTATCAAATATTTTATACGAATTTCTGCTGCCTGTCAACGTTGATTTTAGCGCTTAGACGGGCGCGCATTAGGGAGAGGGTGGTTGGGCTGGGCAAGCGCAAATAAAACACACCTGTTGCCGCCGCAGCCCACATGTCAATAATCATCCGAGTGTGTGTGTGGGTGTGTGTGTGAGACACATCCTGAGTGTCCTGTCGCATAATAAAACATGTATACATGACACACACGAGGACAAAAAGTGTCGACGACTAACGATAGACAAGTAACATAATATTATATTTTTGATGGTCTTCCATCTTTCTTCTCTTTCTTATCCTACTTTTAGGTCCCACAAAATGCAGGAGTATGTCAGGATTGCAAGAATTGCAACCAACTCTGCCCGGGCATGTCACCGGCAAAGATTCTATGAACCAAATGCCGAAGTACGCTGGCAGCACTTCGAGCACTAAACAGGCTGAACGGAGCCACTAGCACCCCGGATCCGATCAGGTGTGTGTGTCTGTGTTTTGTTATCTTTATACTATATAGTAATATAGATTTCTGATATAATATAATAACACGCCTACAGTAAGAACCTTTTATACTCCCATTCATTGCCAACTTATTTACGGTTCGCAATTATTTCCAGCATTTTATTTTTACGCCTCTCTGGCAGTTGCTTTTCAATTTTTCGTTGATTTGTTTGTGCGCGTCGGCAATCAAAGTCCCAATTGTTACGCCAACTGCCAGCCCCGCCTTACTACAGTATCCCCCTCTCTTTCTCTTCCTTCCTACCTCCCCTCATTTATCGTTTGTTTGAGTTTCTTTTGCTCTTTGTTTTTATCGCACTGTATATATAGAAGTGAACGCTTCCGTTTCCGCTAGTCGCGTCACAGTCGGTTTGCCCCCTCCCAGCCACCCCTCCCCCTCTTCCTATTTAAATTACATGGCAATCGGAATGGAGGACTCCTAGCAGCAAGCACTGCCACATTCCAAAGCCATTCATTCATGAGCCCAGCCTGGCCAAAGAAACAGTGAATCTAAAGTGGGAGTGGGAAAAGGAAGAGGGACCTCTAGAATCGACTATTTTTACACACAATTTCTCAACGAACAGACAGACGGATTCACGGTTTCGTTCGGTCCCTGCACTTTACTTACACAAATTAAACTTGTGATTCGCAGCGGCGGTTACAGCGGAGGAACTATGATAACGAGTCTCTATACCACACAAGAGGATCCCGCCTATTGCTCGTTCATCTGGGGCTCGAATCTCACCACCAGCGCCGATGTCCTAACTGCCAATGCCACGTCTGTCTTTAGCAGCGACCTAAGGGACGACTTCTATCGGGTGAGTGCGTTTTCGGTCATTTCGTATCTTCTGCCTTTTGCCTTGGCCATTGGGCCATCTAGGCGTACCTTGGTTTAGTAGTGTTAGTTGGCCCTGTTCGTTCCAGGCTCTCTCTCTCTCTGTGGTTGCCTTAGCCTTCGAAGGAAGGCTGCCTGCTGTGCAGAAAAACTGTTGCCTACTTTCGGTCGCCGCGGGAAATGTTTTTCTCAAAATGTTTTTCAACTAAAAGCAGCAGCAGCAGCAGTAGCTTGACTAACATTTAGGGTAGGGGGTGGTGGGAAAGAAAAGAAGGTAAAGAATGCTCATTTCAGGACACAGCAGGTTCAGTTGCATGGCCTCCATCGTAACCAAGACAACCAGTTGCCAGGCTCACTTAACTCTTTAAAGCCCTGCTAACCCCGTTAGCAAATGGCTAACAAGTTAAAAAACGAAAAAAACGAAATTTGACTTTGCTGGTAACAAAAAAAAAGAGTTTTTCTCATACAAAATGTTAGGGTTATAACTTTTGGGCGGGGCTGCCCAATAAATGTCTTCTTTGGCAAAGAAAGTTTTAAGAAAGATAAATCAGAGACTCCTTTTTTTAGGTAATTTTACAACAATTTGTGGGGAAAAATTGCTTAAAAAAGATTAAAAAAACTTAAATTTTGTAAGTTTATGGAAAAACTATATAAGAGAAAGCATCCCTAACAATTTCTTTCCATTATTAACCTTTCACCTCACTAATATGAGGTACTAAAAGTTGTCCTAGTTGTCCTTTCGTTGACAGCCAACGAAAAGCTGCTTTATTGGGAACTCAACTCTGGCTCAAGGCGGGCCTTTGCCGAATGCAAAAATAGAAAACAAAGGGCAAAGGATGTGAAAAGTAAGGCACACCCCCGCACACCCACACATGCAAGGCAGCAAAAGGAAGAGCAAACAGCAAGTAGCAAGTAGCAGCAGCCAAGAAGCTTAGAAAGGGGTGGGCGGGGGTAAGGTGGTTTCTGTGTGTGTGCATAAAAAGTCACAAAATAAAAGTGTCAAGTTGACTATTGAATTTTTATCTGCCGCAACCCATCCAACCAACCAACGCAGAGCCAACAAAAGCGCCAAAGCGCCACAAAGAGATGATTTACGAGCTGTTCTCTTACACCCCCACCCAACCCAACCCCCTACTCTACACATATACTCTATATACACTTGTTTACTATCCTTACAGGATGTGGAGGATCCGCGTACGGAATCGCTAAGGGAATACTGCTATGGCCTGGTGTTGCCCATCATCTGTGCCATGGGCATCATAGGCAATGTCCTCAATCTGATTGTCCTAACCAGGCGGAATATGCGTGGCACTGCCTACATTTACATGAGGGGTAAGTAAGGGTGGTGTGGCTGTTAACTTAACTTACTCACACACATTCCTTAGCCTTAATTCGAAAACCCAAAACTAGCTAAATTCCTTATGGCAACCACATTTCGACGGTGGGCAGGCAGGCAGTCAGGCAGTCAAAATTCCTATTAATCTCTAACCACATGCGAAAACCAATACTCAAATATCTCTTGTACTTTGAGAGTGTAATGAGAATTCCTTCCTCCAAATGACCAACTTGAAGCTAATCGAAAACTATGCAGAATGCAGCCAGCAATTGGCAAAAGCAAAGCTAAGTTCTATCAATTTCTTCATTTCCTATTTTCCCTTTGCAGCGTGAGAATTCGTAATTTTATTTTCACAGTTTTTAAGTTGCAACAAGAGGAAACGCTATAGTCGAGTGCCCCGACTAGCACCACCTAAAGATGCGCTGACATCTAAAGTTTATACATACTGAAGTTAAACTTTGTAGCTCTAATAGTTTCCGAGATTTCAGCGATTTTAGTTTTTCGTGATTTGTGGGCATTAGAGTGGGCGTGGCAGGATGCTGAAATAAACTTGCACTGTCCCGGGACCTCAAGAATCTCCTTGCTTAATCTCAAATTTGTATCTTTTATAGTTCCTGAGATCTTAGCGTTCATACGGACGGACGGACGGACGGACGGACGGACGGACGGACGGACGGACGGACGGACGGACAGACGGACATGTCTCAATCGACTTCGCTATTGATCCTGATCAAGAATATATATGTATACTTTATAGGGTCGGAAACGCTTCCTTCTATCTGTTACATACTTTTCAACGAATCTAGTATACCCTTTGAATCTACGAGTAACGGGTATAAAAAGCCATCAAACAAAATTCAAATTTACACGCTGGAAAAACTGACGACCAAAGGGTAGTTATTAGTAAACTGATTATCATTAGCAACATTTCCTAATAAAATGTTTGCCACATTTTCCAGCCACAAGCATATCTGTTTTCCCAATTTCCACCAATTAACAATTTGCAATGCGAAATTTTTGCCTTTGACAAAAAAGCATTTTTGCAGCCTCCTCGCCCTGTAATTATTATTTTTCTTCTCTTCCTTCAATTAGGCCAACATACCATTGACCATAATTCTGCAAATTACAAACAGTTTGAAGTGTGCAAATTTGAATTTTCATAGAAAGTAAAGTGAAATCCAAGTACATTGACCAGGGAAAAATCATGTACTGCTGCAGTGATTAGTAAAAAACTAAAAAGAACAATGGGTTTTGGTAACCAATTCGAATTTGTGACCAAAAATGCAACAGCCTTTGAAGTTGCTGCCTCAAGGACTTTATGACTTCTTTCTTGTTCTACATTTGATTAGGACTTGTTCCTGCTTCATGCCTCTCTCTCTCTCTCTCCCTGAGACTTTTCAACAGCAGAAGACAGGGGAAAGAAGAAAAAAACAAACCTAAATACCCATGTTCATTTCCAGTTTCGAGTATGATTTGCGATAACCCATATTGGATTTCTATTTGCCACAAAAACTGTAGGGTGAGACACTCGTATGCCTTCTTCTTCATGCCACACATTGAATCCTCCTCTAGCAGCCACCAGTCAAGGAGAAGAAACAGCAGGAGCAGTAGAAAGAACCCAACTCGACTCTTGACTGATTGCCAAATTGAGTTTCGCTTTAGAACATATATATATGCGAGTATATTTCCTATTCCGCAATTTCCTTCAACTCTGAGAGCTGGCCATTGTATGCCGCACAGAATTTATTCATTAACCTCGACGATTTCTGCCGAAATTGAAGCTGCCACACAATGCGGCTAATGTATGCGTACCGCCGTGCGACTGTGCCTATGCGTGCGCCCTACTACATTGAAAGTTATTTCATTAGATGAGAGCCGAGACCTGGGTTAACCCCATGGAAATTTATGCAGAGCCCAGCTACTAAGCCCTGCCCCGCCCTTTTCTTTCTGCTGTATTAGACAGCATGTCAACTCTATTAGACACTCGTTTGCTTTATGGCGCTTTAATTGATTAATGAGCTACCCGCCCCCTCCCTCTGGCTCCCTTCCTTCCCTTTTTTGGGTTTAGGAAAGGCAACAACGAAAGAAAAAAGAAAACAAAAAAAAAAAGGCAACTTTGTCAACGCCGCCACTTGCTGGTAATTTTTTAGACTCGACTATCACTCATGGTGAAACCCCTCCCCAAAGAAGGAAAACTGTACGGAACAAGGAAAACAGAAATATGCGACTCACTTTACTTGTCATGGGAAATTCTTAACCAAAATGAAGGGTGGAGGGAATACCCTAGCTTAGAAGGGTTGCACTTGGCTAAGCAGAGAGGTTGCTGACCCCAAAATGATTTATTAAAATTATGTGACTAAACTATTATTCGTTAGAGTTGCGATAAGTTGAGCATGTAGATTACATATTGTCAAGGTTTTATGTTAATGCATCTAAGCTTTGTCGTAGATATTGCTTTTGTCTCAAGTCTAGAGAAAGGTGACCCCAATGTTTCTTTATGATATTCTAATTTCTAACTTTATTCTTAACTTAGTTGAGGCTTGAAAATGATGTTACGTCATTTTTATCAAAGTTGTCATGTAAACTTTTTACTAGTTATGGCTCTTATTCTTAACATGAAGAAAGGTGACCCCGACGTTTCATAAAAATTCTCGCTTTTTTATATTCCTAGCTTAGTTGAGACTTTCTAAAAACATTAGGTCAGTTTTATTATAGCTTATATGTAAACTTTCTATTAGTTAGTGATCTTATTCCAAACATGAAGAAAGGTGACCCCAATGTTTAATTTGAATTCTTCTTTTTAGCTATATAATCAGCATAGTTGAGACTTGCTAAAGGCCTTAAGTTAGTTTAATCATAGTTTTTATGTAAACTTTCTGTTAGTAAGATAGCTCTTATTCTTACCATGAAAAAAGGTGACCCCAAGGTTGTCGTTTAAAAAAATAAAAAGATTCAAAATCTGCTTAACTGAGTTTTGTTAAGGTACAGACCTTGAGCTTCATCTTATCATCTTAACTTTGTCTTTAAAAACTGCTATCAGTAAAGCTAACAGATTGGTGACCCTGATAGCATCATTAAAGATCTATGATTAAACTAAACTTATTAAACAAAGTTTAGTTTTGCAAAAGACATACAAGGATTCAATATTATTAAGGATTTCAGCTAATGTTTCTTAACTTTGAGTAAGTATTGCTTTTATTCTTATCACAGAGAAAGGTGACCCCAATGCTTTCATCAATACTCCAAGATGCTGAACTTAAAACAGAACAGAAAACAGAGTTAAGAGATGATAAAGACCTTCAACCTTTCTTCCCATGGACTTTTTCTAAACATCTCAGCTTCTTTCTTCAAGAACTGCTATCATGCTTAAGATACAGTTTGGTGACCCCAACCATTCAAATTCCTTGATCTTAAAGCCTTTATCAAAAACACCCAAAAACCCCGTACAAAATTTCCATCATCTTAACTTTTCATTTTGCATTTCGCTATCACACTCAGATCAAGATAAACCCAAGGCCTTAGGCCTCGCGCCCAATTACCAAACCGATAGCTCTTCGACTTTATGACCTGCCAGGGGCCAAAAGTGTGTGGCCGATCAAGCTGAGAATTTTAGTGCCCCATAAAAGGGTATAGTCAGTTAGGGCAAGGAAAAGCAAAGGGAAAAGCCCATGCAAAATGTGAAAATAAAATGTAAAATGCTTCAAATGTAATACGCATGGTATGGCAGCATAATTGATTGCCCTTTTTCGACTGGCTCTTAGTAGGAGGATGAGGATGAGGTCTGGAAGCAAGGGCAAAAGGGGGAGAAGAAGAAGAGAAAGCCTAACCAAGGAAAGGAGAAATGCAAAGCGGGACCCTTTCGGTCTTTCAGTGACTAAACTGAAATATCACCAGCCTCAGCCTCAGCCTCAACTCTCTCTCTCTCTCTGCTCGAGTGGCAGTAAATAAAAGTTGTGAAGAGCCGCACGCCGCTGCCTCCTCAGCCTTGGTATGAGTAATAATGACCGAAATCAGAGCAGACCAACCAACCCAACCCAACCCATCTCCCTTCCCTTCTTGCCCACTGCTCATTTTTATTAAAATAACAAAAATATTTTCCTGCTCGCAGCCTTTTTACGATGCCAACAGAACTGGCGGCCCATTTGTTATTTGGCGGTCATTGCCACCAAATGGTGTCCTGTCCCGCTTGCCTACTCCATCTCACATGTGTCGTCGTCGTCGTCGTCTCTCCCTCTGTCTTTCCCCCCTCCTCTTTATCTATCTTCCTGTTTTGACCAAAGTTATGCATTGCTGAGGCGGCGGGGGGGAGGGTTAAAAACTCATTTTATTGCCCAACTGGGAAATGGCAAAGTGGCTAGCCCAGGGGATTCCCTCCTCGATCTTGGCTGCTTTCAAATTAATGTTTTTTAAAGAGATCTCTCTCTCTGTTAGCCACTCCATCATTTGGTCCTAGGCTTTAGCCTTAGCTGGTTCTTCAACGAAAGAAAATTCCATTGCTGACAGGATAAGCAACATGAGAGATTTGTATAGTAAAAGGAGAGGAGGTGTAGGAGGTGAGTGAGGGAAGGGGTGGCTAAAGTGTTTGCCTGCTGATGAGCGACGATGGCGGCGGCAGGACACTTGTCAGGCTTGGCTTGGCGCAAACAGAACTGACATTTATATTGATGTGTGTGGCGTTGTCCCTGTGCCCAATTAGATGCCCATCATTATGAGAGGGCTACCCCCTTTTCGCACTTTGCCCCCTTTCTCTCCGCCTTCTTTTTTGGGGGGGAAGTCATATATCGAACATTAAGCTCTGCCTGCTTGTGTGTTTGTGTGCACAGCAATTTGGCGGGCGGCAGCAGAGGCAGCAGCAGGACGCACATGATATTAGTAATAATGTAATTATATGGTCATAAACAAAATAATAAATCAATAAACAACACACACACACTCGCAGGCAACACACACACACTCACACGCACACTCACAAGCAGAAAAAGTTATCAAAAAGAAAACCTAAGGATGCTAGGAAAAAGGCAACCGGAAAGTAAAAACCATTCATTTGGCCCGCCTGCCTCTCGAGTGTGCCGCCGCCGCCGTTGTCCTCTCTGTATATGGTATATGAGCCAGGACTTCCTGTTGCCACATGCCAAGGAAACGGCGCCATAATTATGCCATAAACTCAACCATAAAGGACATTTTTATAGATTTACCCAAGTTAATCCCTTTGTTGTTCTACTTTTTTCCCATTCTTTTTCTCCCTCTCTCTCTCTCTCTCTCTATTACTTCTTTTTCTAGCTTATTCCACAGCCGCCCTGTTGGCCATTGTCTTTGCCATTCCCTTTGGCATCCGTATGCTGGTCCACAAGGATCGAGGCCAATGGGAGAAATTCGGACCAGCCTTCTACACTGCCCATTTGGAGCTTTATCTGGGCAATGGCTGTTTGGGTGAGTCTTGGGTTTGGCGGATTTGCAACAGGGAGAGCTTTTCAAAGGTCATAGCTTTCCCGGAAGTTGAACAAAGGTTGGAGTGTTAGCTTTAAGTTTAAGTTGATGTTTGGAATTTGTAAGTTCGTTGATGATTTAGTTGGTTTTGGGAAAGCTTCTTTAATGTTAAAGCTTCTTTAACAAAGATTCTAGTTAATCATTAACTAAAAAGTTCAATTTATCCCTCTAAAAACCATCTTAGGCATTGGCGTGATGATGTTACTAGTACTGACCATTGAGCGTTACGTATCCGTTTGCCATCCCGGCTTTGCTAGGCCAGTGATGGGACCACCAGGGTAAGTTAGCCCCAAGCTCCCCTTCCCTAGCACTACCTTTTCTGATACCAAAACCTCACTCCTCCCTCCAGCGTTGTGGTCTTCCTCACCTGCCTGGCCACTGTCATTGTCTATCTGCCGAGCATCTTTCGCGGTGAACTTATCAAATGCATGTACGGTTCGAGAGATGTCTATGTCTATCTGAGACGCGATAATACCATCTATCAGCAGACCATCTTCTATCGTGTCTATAAGATAATGCTAGAAGTGATCTTTAAACTAATACCAACACTAGTGATCGGTGGCCTAAATATGCGTATTATGATGGTATATCGAAGAACCTGCGAACGACGCAGACAGATGGTATTAAGCCGTCCACATGCCCATGGTTATATGAAAGATGATGACCCAAGGAAATTCGCTGAGGAGCGTCGTTTATTCCTACTGCTTGGCAGCACATCAATCTTGTTCCTTGTCTGCGTATCACCGATGGCTATATTACATATGACTATCGCCTCGGAGGTATATCCAAGCTTCCCCTTTCAGGTGTTCAGGGCCAGTGCAAATTTATTGGAATTGATCAACTATTCCCTGACCTTCTATATATACTGTCTGTTCAGTGAGGATTTTCGAAATACTTTGGTGAGGACCATCAAATGGCCATGGCTAAAGGGAAAGCTATGTCATCAGGCTGAGAACGAGGTGAGTGCCAGTCCACCGGCTACAGCTGGAACGGTAGCAGTAGCAGCCGGTACTGGAACTGGCCATATATCTAAATATCATGCAGCTTCAATACCGGCGCTGACTCTCACACCCGCAGAACCCGCAGAGGACCGACGGCCAAGGATTGCCAATGGCGTCCATCACTAAGATGGACAAAGGCCATCATCATCATCATCATCATCATCATAAGCATCATATAACCACCACCTCGGGCCTGGGACGATCGAGTAGCATTTAATCTAATGCCCAACCAACCGCTACTCGAGATCCTACCTACAACATCCAACCGATAACCGAGAAATACCTTCCCAGCCCAGAGTAAACCAGTAAAAACCCATCACCACCAAAACCCTTTTCCCCAGGTTGCCGAGGTGTGAGGGCTCTCTACTTTGATCACCGCTTAATATCTGTCGGTGCGTTAAAAAGAGTGTTCGATATAGCGATAAACGATATTAGATATTAGCGATAAATACCGATAACCAGTACGCCACGCGTTTATATGTGTCTGTGTATGTGAGTGTTCCTTAACCATTCATATATATATGGATCCATATATATATGGATAACTTTTTTTTTTTTGTAGCCATAGTTTAGAGATAAATCATACTAATCGATAGTGTATCAATAATCGGCAGAGGAGGTGAAAGATCGCAAGGGCTAGGCAAAGGGATCGATAGTTAGCTAGAGTTTAACCATTGATAGGAAAGTTAGGCGAGGAAAGTGAAGATCGATTGTTGGAGTTTAACTAAAGAGAAGCTAAAGTATCGATAGCATGAATTCCACTATCGATGGGCAAAAGAAGGAAACGATAACAGTAGTTGAACTATGGATGAGAAGATCAAATGTGTGGTAAATCAGTTTGAGTGATAGCAGGAGTTCAAGTATTGAAAGAAAACTATCAACTATCGATAGGCAGAAACAGTCTGACTACCAGAGAAGACTTAAGCCAAACAAAAACGTAAGAGCATAAGAATTGAGTAAAAAGAAGAGTATCACTATCGACGGAAGGGTAAATGCAAGATATCAAGAGTCCAATTTATCGATAGGCAGAAGAAATGGGTGAAAGCAGAAAGTTTAAAGTAGAAGTTTGAAGAAAAAACTGAAATCGGAAGAAAGAATCGACAGAAAAATTGAGTGATAGCTGAAGTAAAATTATCGATAGGCAAAAAATCGAACGATAAAAAGAGTTAAGCAACGATTAACAGTTTGATTTGAAGATTAAAGCAGAATCTACAAAAGAACAGAAGCGATAACAGAAATTAAGCCCTTCGATAGACAAACAAAAACCGATTACAGGAGCTAAAACCAGCGATAGACAGAGGAATATCAGTGAAAAACCCAAGCCAAAGATGCTTCACCGAGAGATATGTATGTCATGATACTTAAATAAACTTAAACGATATCGTCAATGGAGTTGCTTGCCATACGATAACGATAACGATAACAAACTCGTATACTCTAGTTTTTAGGCACATTCTCACATGGATGGAAAAGAGTTGGAGTGGAATAACATTAACAGACAGACATCTAAACTGACATCCAGACAGACAAATGAGACAGACATACACAGCGAGAGAGAGCGAGACGTCGATAGTATATAGACATACAATACTTATATATATATATACGAGCATATAATCTATATATATATATATATTATATATGTGAATGATATTTATGTAAAACGATGTATTTATGTATACACGCCGCGTAAGTTTAAGCGAATATATTTATATATGCATATATATGGATCTATTGATTATAGCATTTAAGTGCGAGCAAAAATAAACCCCACACCCCCCTCCTTAACCTCTTCTTGGAATCAGATAAAGATCAAGACCCTTAAACAAATCAAGATCCTAAGAATCCCTAAGCCCATCCCTGCCGCCATACCCCCCTTTCGTCTGACGAAGAAATTTGTATTGAAATTGTTGCGTGAATTGAGATTGAATTTGTTGTTAAGTTAATATATAATATCTAATATATAGTATAATTTAATTTTAAATTCTAGTTATAATAATTCGTGAACTAAGTTAACTAGCATTAAACAAGGCGATTTGAGATTCAGAACCAGTCCTAGCCCCCACCTTGGTTGTCAGTCTAAGGGAGAAGTCCTGCTTACCCAGAAAATCCCAAGAAAGAAATCTAAAAAAAAGAAAACTAATACTCCCACTCCCCCCCTTTTAACCCCTTGCAGCACGCGTAGCTAACTTAACTAAATGTGTGTACCTAGTTATTAAAACAAAGCAAAGCAACCGAAACTGATCAGTGATGTCTATTTACCCATTGGTACTTGAGAGCAAGCCCAAGGCTAAGCTATGGCTTGCACACTGCAGCATTCAACTTACAAAAATATCTCTATAAATTTATAATCTCAGCCTAATGAAGATCTAGGATCCAAGCAAGATTCAGTTATCAGGCAGTATCTTTGAACCAATTATTGGTAATGGCAAAAAAAAAGAAAAAGTAGTTGAAAAGATTCTTACAGTTTGAGAGGAGGCGTCGCCACCATTGGAGAATCCGGAATAAATTCAGAAACTTATATCGAAAGTTTATTTTGTAGACAATTCCTGTTGAGTTGATCCTTGGAAAAATCCGTGAAATTTCTGAAAAAATTCAAACAAAAATTTAATTAAAATATGAAATGGTTAATAGGGAAAGTTTTTATAGTTTAGCATAGCTCTTGTTAGATTTTCTATAATTTGTTTTTTAAGTTACTAACTTACTTAGTAACTTATTTATGCAAAATTTTATTTGCATTGCTTTTAAGTCTAACAAACTCTTTTTTTTATGTTTTTAATAATTTTTTTAACTACTTAAAAAAAATATTCCAGAATATCATAAAGTTATTTTAGATATTATTTTTAAAATTTAATATTTAAAAAAAATTCTACCTTTAAGTTTTCTTTTTTGGTTTTCTAAAAACTCTTCTGAAAAACTCTATAAAGTTATTCCTAAAAAGTAAAATATTTTATGTGCAACTTGAAAAGCTCTCTTTAAGTTTTCCTTACTTTCCAAACGCCTTTAAAAATTTGTAAATTTTAAAAATGTATTTAAATGAATAAAAATAAGGTTTTGGAAAACTTAAACAGTTTGCAACTCTTTAAAAGCCTTTCCTTTCCAAAAACATTCTGAAAAAGTTAAAGTTTAAGGTTTGTTTTAAAATAAAATATTTGATGTACAACTTAAAAGGCCTAAAAGGCCAAACAAAACTCTCTTTTGGCATTACTTATTTTGTAAGAACTTTAAAAAAAACTCTATTCAAGATATATTTATGTTATATTTAAGCTATTTTTGAATGGAAAAAAATGTTGTGGATACTTTGAAAAGCCGAAAAATCAAGAAGATAAACGAAATTTTATATTTCATATATTTTTAAATCAATTGGTCAGTAACATCTAATCATATTCTTAATGGTTATACAATAATGAAGAAAGAAAGTTAAGCCTTTAACTCAAAATTAAGAATGAAATAATGATTATCAAGGCTAACAGCATTTTGAGTGGAAAATTTGAAAAATAAATACTATAAAAGTTAAAAGAAATTTAAAAAGAGAAAGGAAATAAACAGGGGATGTTAGGGATTGTTGCAATGAAGTTATTATTTAATTGCCTTAAAAAGTTTTTCAATTTTGAGTTATAAGCAAAACAAAAATGAAGAAAAAATAATCTAAAAACTGTAATCAAAGAAAAATACAAATTTCTAATGATATTCCATTTTAAAATGCAGAAAAGAAAATTTAACAAATAAGTTGAAATTATTTTAAATTAATAATTGTCAAGAAAGAACGAATTACTCAGAATTTGTAAAAAAAATTAAGATTATAATATGTTAAACTATATTCTAATTTTTTAATATTGAAAACAAAAATTGTAACAAAAAGTGTAAATGAAAAAAGAATTAAAAAGGTTTAGAAAGTTCTGCAAAGCAGTTTTAAACAATGTTAAAAATTTGGTTAAATAAAATTCGAAAAACAAGAAAAATGAATAGAAAAATATTTAAAAGGATTACAAAATTGTTCAAAGAAATTTCCAGCGGCAGGAAAATGAAAAAGAAAATTGTTTCGAATCAAACAAAATATTATAAATTTCTAACTTTATTCTGATTTGAAAAATTAAAAGAAATATAATTGAACTTCAAATAAGAAATTATGGTAGTTAAAGGCAATGCAAAGGCTTACAAAATTTTCCAAATGGTTTTATTAAATAATCTAAAAAAAAGGGTAAGGAAAAATGAAGAAAGGCTTTGTAAATGGTTTTCCATTCTTTAAAAGCCAAAAAAACCTTTCGAATTGGAATTTTTATTCTTCTTTAATTACCAAATGTGAGACAGAAAAATTAGACAAGAAAAGTTCAGTAAGAAATTTTTGGCTTTTAAAATTTGAAACAAATGTCTAAAATTTTTGAAAATTTCAAAAAAAAAGTCCTTTTTTTAATTTTTTTGAGAAAACTTTAAGAAAATGTAAATTGAAGGCAATATAAAATTTCAAACTAAATTCCTGTTTAAAATGTGAAAATGAAACATCAATTGAAAATGAAAAAATACTCAAAAAGGTTTTCAAAAAAATAGAAGGAAAAGAAATTAAAAACAAAATTTAGAAAATTATAAAACCATTGAAAGGCATTCCATACTCTCTTTCAAAATCAAAGATAATGATCAAGAAGTTTTAAGAATCGCTTAAAGAAGATTTCAAAATGTTTTGCTGACCAATTGTTTTTCCGACTACCAAGCCATTGCCAAAGTAGGCAAGATACTGGCCAGGATATCACTAGATATCCCCACTAAAAGGTGAATAATCACATTGAATGAACGTACGTAAAAGTAGAATCCTCTTTTGTTTTCGTTATCCAGAGCTCAGCTCAAAAGCCAAGAGAAATTAATATATATTTAGGAAACAAAGTAGACGAACGAATTGAAAGAAAGATGAAATCAAGCGAGAAAAGCGAGGCATTTAGGACAACAACAAAAAAAATTCCGGAAAAACACAAAAACAAGCAGCAGGACGATGGAAAAATTATGAATAAAAAACCATAAATAGAGCCAAGAGCAGATGGAGTTAAAAAGCGTTAAAAGCCATAAAAAAAATACAAATTACAAAATGCATTACAATTACCATAAACAGCATTCGATTAGGAATGAACAATTTTAATTGGTGTCAAAGTTCAATGAATAATAATAAAGAAAAAACAAAAAAAAAAAACATAAGAAAATCACACAACTACCACCCTTTCTTTTCTTGGCAAGGCGCCTAAAGGCCTAAAATCTTAAGTACTTTCTCCAAAAAAATCTTTATTCTTAACTTAAAGTAAGGGTAAAAAAAAATAGAGTTTGTTTTCTTTTTTTGAGGCGTTTGGGAAAATGGAAGAGCAGCGCGATCATCACACAGCAGCAGGAATAATACCGAAAAGCTTCCTTATTAACTACAATCCTTAGACTAGTCTCAGTTTTTGGATCTCTCTCTTTTTCTGTCTCTCTCTCTATCTATCTCTCTTCTTCTCCTACCAAGGTCGCCACACCACCAGCCGCTGCTGCACTAACTCCGCCAACTGGCGCTGCCTCTGCCGCTTTCTCTCAAAGATCTGGTGGCGTATCTTCAGCAGGATGCTATCACGTGGTGCTGGGACACTCAAAGTGCTGTTGGCTGGCGAGGTTTGCTGAAGCTGCTCTATGAACTCCAGGTCCATGTCATGCGGCGGTGAGGGAAAGGACTCCTTAACCTGCTCCTGATCCTGATCCTCCTGATCGTTATCCTGATGGGCTGCCATTTGACACTGATATTGCAGCTTGAAACGTTGACGCTAAAAGTTAAAAGATTAAAGATTAAAGTTTGTTTTTTTTAAACTGATTTCGATTGGGAATGAACTATAGGTTACGTTTCCATAATCCTTGCCAGTATACCAATCCTCACCTTCTTTCTCGCCGCATTCTCAGCCAGAAATCTACAAAGCTGCTGTAATTGCTGCTCAGCCAGCTCTTCCTTATCCTTATCCATCAGCTGATGAACCTGATCTTGTTCTTGATTTTGATTCTGATCCTGTTCTTGGATCAGATGATCCTCTAGACGACGCTGCTGCTGTCGCTGCTTGATGGCCGCCTGAACCTTGCACCTGGTGGCCGAACTCAGGCTGAGATCCATGCTGCGCTGCTGCTTCAAAATCTTATAGATGACGCCCATCGAGGCTGCTGGCTGCTCTGCGCTCTACTGTGGGTCCTGCTTTAAAACCGATATATATGTAGATATATATATTAATATATATATATATATATCCACGATCAACGTTCCCGTCGAGTTGCAAGGAAAGACTGTCCCGTCTGGCTGGCCTGGCACGTCTTTATATGCACTTTCTCTTTCTCTCTCTGCGATTTGTTTGGAGATTCGACTCTCTGAAAGATTAAAAATAAAACATAACTCGTGGGTCCATGTGTTACTGGATGGTGGTGGTGGCTGCTGCTGCTGCTGCTGATGATGCTGTTCCTTCTTTGCTGTTGCCGCGCACATTGCCCGCCAAAAAACTCCGAAACTCCCAACTCCAACAACGGCTGTCCCGCTTTATGGGACATTGCTCAAGTGGAGTTTGGTTCTATTTTCTGCTCTCATTACAATGCCTTTTAGCAGTGCAACACATGTGGCAGCATCAGCAGCAGCAACAGTGCCGCACAATCGCCTTAAAAATAGACTACACTCTCACACAGCTGCAACACTTTCGCTGCACCGACCGCTGCAACAAACGGCGCATGTGGCCTTTGTTTCACAGTCAAAGTCCCATTACCATACCATTTCCATCTTCATATCTGTAAAGTAAAGTAAAAAAAAAAAAGAAAAAAATATATCCAAAATCCGGGTCCTCATCCTCCCCTCCCTCCGTCATAGCCATTCCCAAAAACTCAAACCGAATTTTTCGTTCATAGCAATCCTTGTCGAGAAACCGCATGTTTTGGCGCCTGTTTTTGTGATGACAGGGTAGCTGGGGGTATATTAGACTGTTTAAAAAATTATTAGAATTTAAATAAAAATTTTAAAAATATTAAAAACTAAAAAGGTCTTTTAAATGGTATTAATTTCTTAAAAAAACTTATTTTTTATTTTTATTTATTTTTCAGTTTTAAGATTTCTAAGTAAAATCTTAAAAATTAATATTTTAAGCAAACCTCTTAAATATTTTACTTGCTTAAAGTTCCTTTTTGCTGATTTTTCACCAAAAATTAGGGTATTCCAAGTTCGTTAGACTTCCCCCAAACTCCTTCATCTTGTTCAGCGTCATAATCGTAGTGCCGCAAGATGGGTTCGTATCGGGATCGGGATCGTGATACTATAAATAGCGCCTGGGAAAAAACACTTTGCAGCAGCTAGTCATGTGTGTGTGTATGTCTGCGTGTCTGTGTCACGGCATGCACTTGAACTCTGCATTCACATGTTGTGTGTGCAATGCACCTCCCCCCCTCCCTTCCACACTCCCTTTTCCATTCCCTTTCCCTTTCTTACTCTTACTATCGCATGCCTAACATGCCTGCGCCTGCGTCCCTATACATATATCCCTATATAGATATATATATATTCTTGATCTTTCTGCTGTTTTTATTTGGACTTCAAGATGTTTCAAAGTGCACTTCAAGTGCGTTACAATTTGTGTCTATTTTTGGCTGCTTGGGAAGAATATCTCTATAGAAGAGTGGGGGGAGGGGGAGAGCTCCCTATTTTCGGGAAGAAAAAGATAACGGGGATTTTTATAATGTAAATCATTACAGCGGCAACCCCAACGAAAACGTTACTAGATAAGCCGCCCCATAATTGAAACATTTTTAATGAGCAATTTTATAGGCATTTCAGCCCATTGTCCATGGAGTTGGTTAGAAGGCTAGGGAAAGGAAAGGCCTTTCGATTGTCAAACTGATAAGGGAACAGTGGGACAAAAATGTTGAGAAAGTAAAAGGAAATTTTATAAATATTAAATATTTCAAATATTTAAGGTTTATAAGATGTTAAAGTATGGATTTTTTAGAATAAAAAACTTAAATATTTGATTTTACAAAGACTTTTCCTTATGCCTTAAAAATTTTTTTAAAAAAAGTGAAATTTTGATTAAAAAAATTACATAAAAAAGTCTAAAAAAGCTTACCCTCAAACTTTAATATCTTAAAAATGTATTTTCCATATCAAACTTTACTAATTTTCACCCAACTTCCACCTTACTCAACCCACTGTAGCTCCCCAAATAAAGATTCCTTTTACCAGCTCAAGATTTGCCCGTGTGTCTCTTCCCTCGCCTCTATCGCTCTCTTCTCCTCTTTCCCTAAGTGTGTCTGTTCTTGGATTTCAAATGGAAAAATATACAAAATAGAAAGATAACATACACATATCCCTTTCCCTTTGCATTTGTAACACCCATTAGCCCTGGATTGTGTACTAAAATGTCTGTTAGAAATGTAATTTCAATTTCTACAAACGCATTCTTCCACTTTAGACGGGGGGGAAGAAACAAGAAACTGAAGCCCTTCCTCCACTTGACTCCGGTTCGGTTGGCTTCAGGCTTGCGGAGACAACCCTTAGGCGTAATGACAATTAGCTGTTGGCCCTGGGAAAAACATTTCCCTAAAGCGAAGAAGAAGGGAAACTCCTTATTCTACATGTTAAGGGAGAAGAAGAAGAAGAAACCGTATCGAAACTACACGAAGCGAACCCAACAAGTGCAGGTCCCCCCTTAAGAGATGGAGAGAGAGGGTAATAAAAATATGTCTCCCCCTATTCCCCTATCTTTGTCCCGGGCTAATCGATACTCGATACGATCCATAATTTATGTTCCAGGCGATGGATCTATTTCTAGACTTCCGCTATTCGTTCTATTGTAAGTTTTCTTGCATATATATAAGTTTTTCCTGGAATTTCCCTTGTATGTTTTGACCCACTGATATTACACAGCGAACGCCCAACGCGTGGTTCGCCCCGCGCGAAAACTTGTCAATGTCAGGCCAGCATGGGCCCCCCTAAAGAGCGCGCCAATTTTTCCACCGCCCATAAACATCCCAGATCACCCTCAACACGCATAATTTCCCACGATCTCAAAGAAAAGTTCGAAGCAGGGGGAGGTGGGTCAGAGGGAGACCCCTACGAAGGGGGAAGCCCTGACAAGTTGTCAGCAGGGCTGTTAATGAGCTCCCTGGCTGGGTGTATGTGTGGAATGAAGACGTGATGAATCTATGTTACACTTTCTAATCCCACTTGTGGGAGGCCTGAAAAAAAAGGCTAAGTAATCCCCATGTTCTTCAAGATCAGGCGAGATCAAAACAAGAACTTAGATTGCCTAGATGGTATGGATAGTTTAGACACTTGAGGGGAGAGTAATGATAGGTTTCATGTAATCAAAACTTAAGTTAAGTTAGTTTCTTCTTGCTTTTAAAGACTTCTCTATCAACGTTAAAGTTTAGATTCAAGAAAGCTAGTTTTTACTCAGCTAAAGGTCTTATATCAAACGAATTCAACCCCTTAAGCAGTCCAAGTTCCCCTCAATTCCTAGTTAGGGTATCATTAAACCATCACAAATTCGCGCACGAGCAGAGCAGACCGAGGAAGGCAGCGACAAATATGAGATGATGATCTTTTGAGTTCAGAGCAAAGTTCTTTGTGGCACACAACATGTGTTGTGCCGCGCCCCCTCCCATTGCCACGCCCTATATTCCAGTGTCACTTTTGTGGCGTTTAATAGGTTGCCTCAGCAGCAGCAGAAGCAGCACCAGTTTGCCGCAATCGCGTGCACCATTGGTAAGTGGGGAAGTATCGAGCGTGGGAAACTCACGCTTGCCGCAATCTCAAAAAGCCAACCTCAAGTAGGGAATATCAACAGCGGATAGCATCTGAAGCTAAAAAGCTGAAACTGTATCTGTATTTGTATCTGAATCTGTATCTTTATCTGTATCTAAATTCTGAATCAGTCGCGGGAGCTACCGCAGATAAAGAGCTACCAAGCCAGATTTGCCCCTCAACTTTTGTCACCCAGCAGCTTAGGTTGTATAATAGGCAAGTGCACAGAGAGAAATCATTTGCTAGATTTAAGTGATATTAAGGGATAAATATACTTTAAAACTTAAACTTATAATTGATATTTTTGGTAAACCAAAATTTGTTATCCTAATAATATCTGTTAAAAGACTGTTAAAACTTTTCTCAAACATAAACAATATTCTATGGTCTACTCAAACTTCGCATCAAACTAATATCAACTTTAAATATTTTTCAAAAATGAAGACATAAAATAGCCCTTGATTAATATTCCTTGACATATTTTTAAATATTTTTTAAAGTGACGAAAATATATGAAGCATCTTCTAACCATTTTCCATGACAATCCCAAAACCAAAATCAGAAGCGATTTCTCCTATCACTTGACCATCCAAGTAATCGATGATCTCACTAGCTTCCTCGCTGATCTCTAGACAAAAAAAGTAAGAAGGAAAGAAAGAAAAATAGTAAGTAAGTAAGTAATTAGGTAAGTTAGTAAGTAAGTAGGTAAGTAAGTAGGTAAGTAAGTGAGTAAGTTAGTAAGTCAGAAAGTAAGTAAGTGAGTAAGTAAGTTAGTAAGTAACTTTTAGTCGTCACTTTTTCCTCAACGAAGGCACGTATCGGCAGACTTTGGTTCCGCCGACGTTGCTGCTGTGATTGCAGAAGCTGTCAGAAATCGGAGAAGTAAAGATCGGTTAGTAAAGAAAATCTTAAAAAAAAAAATGCATAAAGACTATGAAATACCTCATAGTATGCCAGTATTAAGTTTCCATAAGAATATCTTACACATTGCAGTCAAAGCAAATTCAGCTGTGACTTAAAAACTTCAAGAAATTTCCAAGAAATGTTCACTCATTTTGACAGCTGTCTGTGCCCTAAAAACTCATATACCCAAAAATCCCCTATCAGATAGGGTATTTTAAAGCTGTTGCTGCTGCTGCTGCTGCTGCTCTACTTAGCCGAGCCATTCAGTCGCTGCAGATCCGGAGGAGTAGTAGCTAGGCCAGACTTAACATGTCAGGCTTTGAGGAAGAGAAGTCAAGGGCCATATCCCGGTCACATCAGTATTGCAAGGTGACGAAGCCACTGCTAGAGCGGAAGCGAAGAGCGCGGATTAACCATTGTGTGGATGATCTGAAAAGCTTGCTTAAGGAGGTTATACAGATGGTGAGTGGAGTCACCAAGAAACAATCTTTTGGATGTCACATCTATAAGAACTTCAGATACATATAATCTGAATGTTACAGTTTTTTGGAGAAACAGTTTTTGGTTTACAATTTTTATATTACAAAATTTTATATTTTTTATTACAATTTTGGAAAGTTTTACAATTTTGGGCAAGGTTAATACCTTGTCTTATAAACAGATGATTAGGTTAACCTAAGAAGTTCTTAGTAAGAACTTCAAGTTATAAATTTCAAGTTCTTAAATTTAACTTCTTCTTCTTAGGACGTCGATTCACTGGCCAAACTGGAGAAGGCCGATGTCCTGGAACTTACAGTTCACCACCTAAACAGCCTACACACACTTCCTACAACTACGCCCATCATTCCATCTACCTCCCATCAATTCAAAATGCAACCCTATTGGTGGGGTTTCCGTCAGTGCGCTCTAGAAGTAACCCATTTTCTGCAACGCAACGATTGCCAGCTCAACTTCAGATTTGTAGAAGAGTTCGAGCAGCAGCTAGAGCCACCCACCAAGCCAATCCTCTGGAGACCTTGGATGGGGGTATAGCATCCTTGGGAGTATCTTTACAAGGCCATCTCCGTGCTCTTCTTGTCGTTAAGTCTTTAGTTTAAGCACCAAACTCACTGTTTCATTTTCCTAAAAACACAAAAGAATAAAACAACAACTTTCGATTTCTTTTGCTTTTCAGTTTTTTCTTTATCTTTTCGCAATAATTCCAAAAACTTGTTAGTTATGTGTGTGTTGTTTTTTCTTCTCAGTGTGTATGTATGTATGTGTGTGTTTGTAGAATGTGTGTTTTTGTTAAGAATGATTTTCCACTTTGGGGTTTTTCTCTTAGTTTCCTTTTTTAGATTTTTTAATAAACATTGCTTAATGCATTCTCGAATGCTAAACTAAGTATTGCTTATCTTCAGTATAATGCACACAAATTAAGGTTTTTCTTTTCTTTCAGTTAGGAGGGTTTATCATTTAACTGGAAAGATAACCCAGCAAAAAAAAAAAAGAAAATAGTGCAATGAGTTTTCCTTTAGTTTATCTTTAAGCTTCAGTTTAGCTGGCCTTGATTATGGTGATCTTTCTTAGAGCCTAAAAATGGTTGGTTTTTTCTTGGTTTTTCTTGGTTTTCCTTTAAGATATTTTTCCAAACTTTTTGCCAGTTTTATGTACAGTATATATATAGATATATATATACATATGTTTAATATATATATATGTATGTATTTTTTATTATATTTTTTATATAATTTCAAGTTTCAGTGTAAGAAGCGCAAAAATTGATTGTTGCTGCAGAGTTTTGGTTTTTTCCTCCATCGACCTGTTGATTTGTATCTGTTGCATATATGTATAGGTATATTCATAGTTTCCATCTATATATTATAGATATATATATATATCCGATATCCACTCAGCTTAGCTTGAGTTTAGAGTTTTAAGTTTTTTTCGGTTTTGACAGAAAAGGCATGCAAGTTTTTTGTGCAGTGTAAAGTGTATGTGAGTGAGTGTCGTCGTTGTTGTTGCCGTGGAAACTTTCCAACAATAAATCTATGCAAAAACAATTTGCAAAATTTGCACAAGTAAAATACAAATCGGGACTTCTATATAATAATAGATATATATATATAATTATCAATATCTGTGTATATATATATTCTCCCTATATCAATTTATTTGGCCTTTATCTAGGTATATATATTATATATATTCCCTTTTAAATACGAACTATAGTGCTGGGACAGAAGAAAAGAACAAGGAACAGGAAACCTTGGAATCGGATTTGGTTAAAGGGATATATTAGAGTATTTTGTGGGTGGTTGGAGGGTGGTTGTGTAGGGGGAGGGGGGTTTGTGCCAGAGTGGTCTAGACAAGCATTATCTAAAAAGCTGAATCCAATCTGAAACCTCTCAGGCGGCGACAAAGCAAAAAGTCTTTGTGATTAGCTTTTGTAAAGATATTTTGCAATTTCAATTTCAATTTCCATTTCCATTTCAATTTCAATTTCAATTTCAATTTCAATTTCAATTTCCATTTCACTTTCAATTTCAACTTCAATTTCAATCTCAATCTCAATTTCAATTTCAATTTCAATTTCAATTTCAATTTCTTAAATTTCTCAAATCTAGATTTATCTAAAAGCAGAAAGCAAGACAACATTAAAGGGTTATCAAGGATTAATGGTTAATGAAGGGTGATGGGGATGGGATAGTTATAGGATAAAGGTTATGGATAGATATACGAAAGAAAGTATTTTCAAGGATTAATGCCTAATGAAGGGTGATGGGGATAGGTTAGATATAGCTTATGGATAAATATAGAAAAGAAAGTATATTCAAGGCTTAATGCTTAATAAAGGGTAATGAGGATAGGATAGTTATAGGATATAGGCTATGGATAGTTATAGAAAAGAAAGTACTTTTAAGGCTTAATGCTTAATAAAGAGTGATGGGATAAAGTTATGGGATAAACGCTATGGATAGATCTAACCAAAAAAAAAGTATTTTCAAAGATTAATGCTTAATAAAGGATAAGATAGCCATAGGACATGGATAGTTATAATAAAGAAAGTATTTCCCTTTCTCTTTTCTTTTACAATATCAACTTTTTTACATTCTAAAGCTGAACCACATATAAAATATAGAAATTATTTTAGCATGGTGATCTCAGAAGAACAAGGAAAACTATAAAAAAAAAAACAAAGATATACTAAAAATTATAAACAAGTCTAAAAGTGAATATGCTTTAGAGAGAGATGGAGCGATAGAGAGAGATAGATAGAGATAGATAGAGATAGATAGATGATGGGGTTTTCTTTTTTTTAAATTTCATATAGATTTTAATTTTAAGGCCTTAGAAGGGGGAGTTACCAACCCCCCCTCCTATACGATATATACTTTCAAGCTCTGGGTGAGGTGTAGAAAAAAAATAGTAGAAAGTTGATATTAGATCGTTTGCTCTGTCAAGGCATGCACATTAGAAAACACATAGAAAAAGGTTTAAAGTTTATCTAAAAGATAACCTCTAAGACAGTGTGTGTGTGTAGAGACTCCTCTTGCCCCTTCGGGTGATATAATCTAATCTTAAGAAGATGAATTAGAACCATTAGATGGTTCTTAGCAAAAAACAAGATTGATTGTCAAGCTTAATGGATTTTAATTTTGGATTTTTAAGAATGAAGAATGGCGAATGAAAGAAGAAACTGCAAGAGGAGCACCTCAAAGCCGCATGCAACAAACTTTTTTCCTTGCACCTTTTTTTTCGAAGTTAATACAAAGTCGATTATCTGATTAGCTAATATAGGTAGTAAATAGGTGTAGATGTTGTAAGTATGTTTTAGCTTTTAGTTTAAGCTTTCAATTTGGATTATCTCAACACGTTCGATTATCAACAGTTTAGAGCGAGCAGCTAACAGAGGCCAATTATTAGCAAGAATTAGTTATGATTAAGTAAATATAGCTTAGTCCTTGCTGTTAATCTTAGTTAGATAAGCTAACTAGCTAACTAACAAAAATACAAAAAAAAAATTCCAACTTTTTTTTGGCCTAATTAATCGGCTTGGCTAGCAGCGCAGCGCACTTAACAAATATTTTTGTAAATTTTTCTTTAGCAATTTTCTTAATTTTTTCCAAATTTTCCGTTTGCCTGGCAAGCATCTCAATAAAAATGCCTAAGTGCTGCCTAATTGTTAATTTTAAATATATTTTTTATATTTTTAATAACTATTTTTTTTAACCAAGCCATATTTGGTTTTCCTTAGAAAAGCGCTTTTCCTTTTGGTGTTCTTTTTTTGTTTTTGTTTTGCAAATTTTTGGTTTTTCATTTTTTTATTTTTTATATAATTTTTGTTTCATTTTTTTTTTTTAACTCTTTTTGTTTTTGTTAATTGAAATATTTTTAGGTTTTTATGCGTAAATAATTTGCTATTAGTTGGAATTTTCACTTATAAAGAGTTTCCTTCTCATGGGGGCTAAACTCTATGTGTGTGTGTGTGTGGGTGTAAGAAGGTGTTTGTATGCATGTATGTGTGTGTAATTTTTAGGGGAGCGGGAGGCCTAAGGAGGTGGTCTAACAAACTGCCACCCCTAGCTTATGGTAAACATAGACTTGTGAGTGACTTTTTCTGATCGTCAGTTTCGTTGTCTCCTTCTATCACCTTATCGCTCCTTCCCTCCCCCGCCCCACCTCTTTCTACTCCTACTTCTTCTCCTACTCCTTTTCCTTTTTCTTCTCCTTCTCCTTCATCACCGCATCGACTACAGGTCCCGCGGTTAATCACCACCTAAACTTAACGCCTGCACTATACGTGGATCAGCTTTACTGCCCTCACGGAACTCCTCCAACGTCAGCCGATCATCATGATTCTTGTCCATCTGATCAAAGATCTTATCCACCCGCTTCTGGGGCGTATTCTCATCCTCTGTTTGCGGCTGTTGGCCCTGTAAGCGAGTAGTTACTGTAGTTTTATAAACTAAAACTATATATTCAACGATACTTACTACCATTTGGTAGATGGCATCCACTATGTTGTACATCTCCTCGCGGGTTATATAGCCATCGTTGTCCACATCATAAAGACGGAAGGCCCCTGGGGAAGTAAAAGATAAGATAAGATATTAGTAAGGTCTTAGAAAAGCGAGAAAGTTGTTGAAGAAAAGCAGCTAAGTAATAACTTGTTTAAGATCTGGAAAGTTCTATAAGATCAGGTTGAATAATAATGAAGTCTACCTGTACTGTTTTTCAACTTCCTAAAAGGAACTACTTTATGGAAAACTAAAAATATGAGACTAAGAAGATTTTTAAACTTAGTTTTTCTTGTACTAACTTATAAGGATATACCGAGCAACCTTCTTACCTTAACCAAAACCCCATCTACATCTCAAATCTTACCCCCAGAATCACCCCAACTAATAAGGATATACTCTTTGACCTTCTACCTTCTACCTTCAACCTCCAACATTCTACCTATACCTTCTTCAACCTATGTTACCTTAACCAAAACCCCATCTACATCTCAAATCTTACACCTCAAAATCCCTTCTTAGCCATCCCAAATTCCATCCAAATTCCTCCTTGATTATTAGTAAATCTTATAGAAAAGCTGGAAAGTTCTTGCGGAAAAGCTGCTAAGTAAGATCAGGAAAGTTCTATAAGATCAAGTTTTATAATAAGGAAGGTAACCTGTACTGTTTTCCAACTTCCTAAAAGCAACTACTTCATGGAAAACTCAAAATTTGAAACTAAGAAGAGTTTAACCTTATTTTTTCCTGTACTTAACTTATAAGGATATATCCATCGACCTTCTTAGTTGGTAACCTTAACCAAAACCCCATCTACATCTCAAATCTTACCCGTAAAATCCCTTCTCTCCCTTAACCAAAACCCCATCTACATCTCAAATCTCACCCCTCAAAATCCCTTTTTAGCCATCCCCCACCCCCCCTTACAGTGCAGCTTCTCATCCAGATTCCCTCTTGATGTTATGGACAAAGCCCGTATAAACTCCTCAAACTCAATGGCGCCATCCTGCAGATACAAAGATACAAAGATAGAAAGATACAAACATAAGTTATATAATATAAATCAGCATAATATCAATCCTATTGATATACTCACATTATTCTCATCGAAGACACGAAAGACCAGAGAGGCAAATTTGCTGGGGTCACCGTCGGGGAAGAATTGCTTATAGATTTTGATGAAGCCCTGCGGAGATGGGTGGGGAGAGAATGCAGCCAGAAGGAGAAGGATAAAGGGGAAACATACACACACACAAAGAGAGGAGGGTAGAGATGTTAGATGTTTGCTATATAAATATATATGCTATATTCCCCATTTGACTGGGTTTCACTAGAGAAGTTTGAGTGTTGGCAAGTCAGAACTAGACACATAAAATAGCATTAGGAGTGAAAATTTTCGAAATTCACCAGTTAAGTGAAATAAATGGATGATGTCGGGGGGTTGTTTGGCTAGACTATAAGGTGTGTCTTTATGTCTATATGTTATAGGAATATATATATTTTTATATAACTAAATATATCACTATATATATCTTCATATATAAAGATGTCTAAAATGTAAGTGCAAGCTTGGCAAACTGCAAGTTATGTTGGGGAATTTTCATGATTTCGCTGGCATGGCAGCTGTGAAACGAAAAAACTTGAAAATGTCAAATCAATGAATGGCTTAAACTTCCCCGCAGCCGCCCCCGCCCCTTCTACCGGCTTCTACAGACATGTGCATGTATTGGTATTTGCCAGCAAACTTGTATTTATTTTATTTATGCCACAAAAGTCAGCCACAAAAAAGCAACGAATGTTGGAAATAAGGACGGACAAACCGCATATCAGGCGGGGGGGATGGCTAGCGGACAGATCAAAGTGTATGTGAGCTTATTATATATATAAAAAAGATATATATATATAAAAGATATATATATAGAAAGTACATATAGTACAGTATGCAGTTTGCCATGGAGATGACCCGAAATAAGAGGATTCCGTTTGTGGTCAGTTATGATGAAAGCCAAAGGGGTAAATCCTGATAATGATAACGATGATAATGATGATGATCCGAGAAGGGGGGAGTGAGTGGAAGATAAAAATCGTGTGGGATACTCACTTGTTCGGTCAGCAAGCCATTCGGACAGTCTTTGAGAAAGCCCTTGTGCCTTCGTTCAGGGTCAGTGTGGTGGTCAGAGATCGGTTATAGCGGATATAGCATAGCACACACAGGAAGTATACAGGACAGCGGGGATACAGATGATACAGAGAGACGTGTAGTTTGGTTGGGGGGAGGGTAGCGCCAACGACGAGATAAACAGATTAGACAGAGACAGGAAAAGACAAAGGAGAGTGTGAGAGTGAGAAAGAAAGAAAGAAAGGTAGATGGAACGTGAAAGAGGGGGCGGGCGGGGAGAACCAAAAAATAATATAGATCAAAAATTAAATTAAAAACCAATAATTGTGGCAGCCAGACACACACCCTCACACACCCTCACACACACACACACATATACACATAAACTGATAAATTAAAGATAAATATTGACCCGGGGAAAATGTTTTTCCGCCGGGGAAAACTCACTCACTCACTCACTCGCTTTGGCATTTTAAATTCTATTTACATTTTATTTCGGTTCTGGCATTAATTTGAACTTTTCCACGGCCACAACCGCAGACAGCAAGATCAAATTTGCAGCAATTGCAATATTAATTATAGCTCACTCATACACTCTCACACACTCTCATACACACACTCAAACACACACTCAGACACCCACACTCATTGGTAAATGAAACATTTAAGTTCTGGCCGCATAATAGAATTGAAAGAGTAAAACCAAAATGAAAATGAAAACGAAAAAAGGAACACAAAAGGTGGAAAAATCCTGATGAAAAATCCATGGAAATGCTCACCATTGACGAATTTCCTTTTCAGTGACTGCAAAGAAAGGTGAAAAAAAAATGTTAAAAATTAGTTAAAAAGCAATTGCAAAGGGAAGGACAATAAAACAGCCAGTTAAGCGTCCGCACTTAGTTGTTGCCGCCTCCTCAAGGTTCTAACCCTCACGAGGCTATCATTCTTAATATCAACATTAACCCCCAAACACCCTGGATATCAATACCCTTATACCAACCTACTCACCCTAAGCAAAACCAATCCCATGGCATTCCTCTTATCCTGGCACTCAAGTGCCTTTTTGCTGAGCCTCTGAGTTATGGCGGCTTAAGGCTTGGTCTAAAGGCTAGAACTGCCCTTGGAGATTGATGGCGTTCACTTGACAGGCTTAGCGGACACGTTCTTCTGCTTTTTCTTCTTCTTCTACTGTTACCTCCTACTACTACTTGCTTTTTTGCTGATGCTGCTGATAAACCGCGACACGCTGCGTATGAGTAATATGCAAGCAAAATTTATGAGAACAGCCAGCCAGCCATCGTCAAAGTGCATTCAGGGTTGAGTGAAGTGAGTGAGTGCCTCAACTCATTTAATAAATCATTTAATTAATTAAAAGCTTTCAAAGTTACCTTTTCCTGGGAGAGAAATGTATAGGAAGTTAGTCAGTACTACTAACTTTAATATAAAGTTAAGTTAAACTAACTAAAACCTAAAACCTCAAAACTCTTTCTAATAACTTTTTCCTTTTCTATCATAAAAATAATATTTACTTTAAGTATTTCCTCCCATCCTTCCTTATCCTTTCCCATTCCCTTGTACTTTTTAGCCTTTTCAGCTAATAATTATAGCACACTTTTTGGCGCATATATGGGCTGCATAGGCCAAGTGGAGAAAGTGGGCTAAAAAGCACTCTGAAAATGAAAAACAAAACGGTACAAAGAGGCTGCCGCTGCTGCTGCCTCTTCCACTACTACTACTGATGATGATGATGGAGATGAACATGTCTGATGATGAAGAAGGGCTGGGCTGGGCAGTGCCCTTCCTCCAATAGGTAGACCTTTTCCATTTTTTTTTAGATCCGCGTTGGGCGCCAAATACAACTTTAGCTGCTGCACGCAATTGAAAATTGGCCACAGCCTAGGCCCATAACATACATATACTATATATCTTTATATATATATATATTGTATATAGTATGTATATCTGAATAACATAACGTAGAGAGATTGAGCCTGGAGGCTTGTTAAAAGTCTGCGCACGCCAACGCGTCGGCTAAGTAAGCTCCAAGGAGCGTTATCCTTGTCGATGTCTCTCGGCCGACGACTTTTACTGCGGCTACATGAATAATACATATCTCGCCTGGCTGGTGTTTGTGCTTGTGCTGAGCCGCCAGCTGTAAAGCAAATTAGTACATAGAGGGAGGAGGGAGGAGAGACCTATGCCTGGATAAGCGGGAATGCCCGGATAAGCGAGAGATTTGCCAGCCCTGACTGAATTCTGACAACTGCCATGGCTGGCAAAAAGAAACAAAAAAAAAAAATGATTTCGATTTAAATGTTTATTTGCAGAAGAAGGCGGCGGCGGTGGCGCGCTTTTCCACCTTTCCACAATTTTCCCACCAAGCTGCTTGTGGCCCTCAGCGTTTATTCAATCTGTTTTTCCTACTCCTCCTCCTCCTCTCTTTTTTTTCCAGCCGCCGAAAATGCCGCCAGTTTTGGCCTTTTTGTATTTACTTAATTTAATTTTTAAACTGATTTAATTTCAACTTTTTTATACACAGACACACACACACAATCACACACACACTCATACATAGAAAGATGGTGACACAGCAAGGACCTCCCTGGTCTGGGTGTGGCCACATGCTAATTAATGAATGGCTGGCAAAAGGCACTCTGCCTTCCTTCCCTCATTTTTCCATTTCGAAAAAGAAAAGTGGGGGAAAGGGTGGAAAAACGAGAAGTGAACTTTAAATGAGCTGCATGCGGGCCACACACACACACACTCAAAATGAAAATCACAAGGACTGTGCGTGTTTTTTGGTCACCAACTCAACAACCTTGCAACAAGCAGGACCACAAGGATGTGCGTCGTCGTCGTCGTCGTCCCCCGGTTTTTTGGGCTCAAATATTTACCAAACTTGATTAGATTCCCAGCGATTCCGAGGCGGGGCAACAAGTGACCTCGCACAATCCTCCTCCCCACCGCCGCCGCCATCAACAACAACTTAACCCTGAGAGAGCGAGCATAGCCAGCCGCCAAGCCACATCGCATGTCTGCGGTTAACCCCTTGGTGGCCTCGCACGCAACTAAAACGCAACTGAAAACCGCTCACCTGGCTATGGATGGGTGGGTGGTAAAGCTACCCCTTTGTCCTAGGTTCATAGTCATGCTCACGGTCATAGTTTATAGTCATGTAGTCATAGTCATTGTCCTGGGCTGTACACACACCCAGAGCAGCCGCCTGCCTGCCTGGCAACTAGCAACTAGCAATCTAGACCAGACATGGAGGTACCATAGATCATATCTGAAATTGCTTCTCGGAATATGTTGCCCAGATGGCAGTGCATTCAACCAACCACACACCCAGCCACTAATTAATCATGATCATATCTTAAATTAATTCCACGAACCGACCACAAATTCGTTTCAATTCAAAAGCTTATTAGTAAGTAGCTTTGTTAATTATAAACCACTTTATCAACTCTAATCAGCTCGACTTATGCTGTTTTCGGTTTCCAAAATCAATTTTCTGCTTATTTTTCTTTAAATTTTTTTAACTTTAAAGCTTATTTTTACCCAAAAACTTCTCTTTCTTACTTTTTGATGACTTTTCTGCCTAAGATTCAACCCTTTTGGCCTTTGCCTTTGCCGCTTTTGCTGGCAAATTGCCTCCTGCAATGTAAACCAAGATCGTATGGCATATTAGCAGCAGCAGTTTAGTTCAGTTTCAGTTTCAGTTTCAGTTTCCATTGATTCGATTCATTGCCTTGATTGAGTTTCCCAGCGATTCCCTCTACCCTACCTCCCCCCTCAATCATTGTTCCTGTTTTATGCTAAAACGTTGCTGCCAGCTGAAGTTGACTCAAAGCACATCATAATTTCCCATCGATTGGCAATTTTCTAATGTCGTTATATGCGCTTTCCCTCTCTCCCTCTCTTTCAAACTGTTTCCCTTGCGAATCGCTTTCTGTTTGTTGCTTTATCAATTTGCGTCTATAAACGAGCAGCAGCCAGGGAGGAATGGCATCTACAGAATGGCAGGGAACCCAACAGAACCCAACCAAACCGACTAACTGAGTCAATGAATGGACGATTGATGCAGAAGGGCTGATTGGGAGGGGTTTCCTAGATGCAGTTGCCAGGAGGGGGTGGCTTGTGCCGGCGCCATTAGCAAATTATACACAACATGTGTGCACTGCAGGGCTGGGACAAGGGCCAGAACCAGGACCCCTACTAGAAAGAACCAACAAAAAGCGTAATGGAGACTGGCTCTTCGATCGTCTTCTGATTTCTTTTCTTACACGCAGAGAAATTTACAACATTTTGGCTTAAAATGTTTTAGAAAAGGTGGAAAAAAACTATGTTAACTTGGTTAGTTAAGATTAAAACTTAGTTATATAAACCAAAACTAAGCCTTAGAATTGCTTCCTTTCCTAGAACTGAGACATTGAGAACTTCTAATGGCAATGCTTCTCAAACTTTTTTTCATAATCTTTAAGTTGGAAAATGATATATTTTTTGGCTTGTAAAAAGGCTAAATTAACTTTTAACTTAACTTTAACTCATCAACTATCCAAAAACAACCCAAAAACTATCTCGAAAACCAAATTTAACATCTTTAACTACACTTCTTCCTTGAAATTAAGCATCAGCACTTCTTAGTTTCAGCTGGAAACATCTTTTTTTCAACATTCTTTGATTATCTTTAAGTAAAATCTTAGAATAATATTGCAAAAGACCACTTTCGGCCTTTTAAAAGACAACTAATTTGACACAACCAACCAACTAAAACTATCTCCTTGCTTTTCAAAAGCAAAAGTGACTAACTAAAACTAATACTTTTCCTTTAAACGGGAAAACTAACTAACTAAATCAAAGTTTTGTCCTTCTCAAAAGGTAAAACCGTCATAATAAGCCAATCTAACTTACTAAAACGCACTAAAACTACTTAATAACCAACATTAAAATCAAAATTTCGCAGATTTAACTCCACTTTTTAACTCAAATCAAGTTTCTGGGCTTCTTAGTTTCTGCTGGAAACACTTTTTTCCAACTTTCTTTGATAATCTTTAAGGAAAGTTCAAGATTGATATTACAATAATCCACTTTCTGCCTTTAAAAAGCCAACAAACTTGTCAAATCCAACTAACTAAAGCTAACTTCTTGATTTTCAAAAGCAAAACTGACTAACTTAAGCATATATTTTTCCTTTAAAAGTGAAAACTAACTAAGCGAAAATTTGGGCCATACTAACCCACCAATAAATCAAAATTTCGATCCTTTAACTTCACTTTTTAACTCAAATCAAGTTTCTTGACTTCTTATAAGCTTTATAATCAACTTTCTTTGATAATCTTTAGGCAAAGTCAAAAAATAATATTGCAAGAATCCACTTTCTGCCTTTAAAAAGGAAACTAACTTAACAAAATTTACTAACTAAAGCTACCTTCTTGCTTATCAAAACCAAAACTGACTAACTTAGGCACATACTTTCCCTTTAAAATTAAAAACTAACCAACTGAATCAAAGTTTTTGCCTTTTTAAGAGGTACAACTCTCATAATAAGCCTTACTAACTAACTAAAACCAACTACTAACCCCCCTTAAATCAAAATTCCGTTATTTTAACTCCCTTTTTTTTCCCCCAGTGCATTGCCAGCTTGTCTCTGCTTTGCTTGTTGCTTGTACACATTTGATTTCCACTGCTAAATGCCAGACAAAATGTCAGGACAAGCTGAGTGGTGCTCCCTTAACCAGCCGCCCACTCGAAACGAATCCCAGAACCTAGAAAAGAGTAGGGGTTTATGGGGTTAAGAGGAGGAGAACACAACAAGTGCAATAATAATTTCAACATTGAAGTGAATTTTGAGTGCCAGCCAATGCGTGCGAAATCAGCTGGGAGGTGCCATACAGGGCGGATGAAAATGTGACTATGGGTAGTGGGTGGGTGAAATGTGGAATGTGGAATGTGGGTGTTAGTTACTACATGGAGGACACATGCCACATGGCAGCACATAGCATCTTTTACCAATCCTCTGCTGATGGTGTACACTGTCTGCTATGTTTGCATAGCGAAATGCATGTGCCAAAGCCAAATGAATGCGGTTCCGAATGCTATTGCAATATGACATTGCTGCAGCGTGTCGTAAGACCAGGCGGTGGTGGTGGTGGTGAGGGTTTAGTGTGACTCCACCCTCCCCCCTTTTGGCAAGGGTCGTGCATTTTAGTTTTATAAGCGATTTGGCCCCAAGCCCCAAGCTGCCATACCACACTGCCCCCGCCCGCCCTTCATTCTGCGACTGTTTGTCGAAGCGTAAAACAAACAGAAATTGACATGAAAGCCATGCATGCTGCGGAAGAAGGGGTTAGGTTAAGAGGCAGCAGGGTTAAAGAAGCAGCTAGGTAAGGGGTGAACCATAGCATCGCCATGTGGCCAGCAGCAGCTAAGGGGCGGCGAAAAGTAATCAAATGTTGCACACATTTCCAACTTGTTATTCTTTCGCCCGCCCGTCCACCATACAAACTGCCACTCTCTAATGCGTCCTTATTGGGTTGCATGCCCCACGAGGGTTCTACTCTTCTTCTTTTTCTTTTTCTATCTCTTTCAAACCTTTCGAAAGAAAGAGGTTGGTTTTATGACAGAAGAAGGATTAGTTTTGAAATCATTAGATGGATTTTTTTTCTATATTCTAACTTATGAGCTGCCTTTCCATAATTTTTAACACAAAGAACTAACTTAAACTTTAATAAATCCAACTAATAAGCTTCCTTAATCCTCTAACAAGTCAATAAATTAGTTTGTTCTTTAACTTATTCATAAATTTAACCACACTTAAACCTCATTAATGAACCGCCTAAAACGACAAGCTAAGTGCCACTCAATTTATGGCCATAAAACAGAGACTCATCGCGACCGCTAATCGTTAACTAAGCCAGCCAATATCCCATAAAATTTCCAAATAATATACAGAAAGAAAAACCCCCTTAAGCTGGCCTTAAATGCAGCTAACTTTAAACTCACATATGGCAGTGATATAAAAAAAGGGGAAAAAAGAAGAAAACAAGAAAAAACAAGAAAATTCAAGCAAAAAAGAAAAGAAAAAGCTAAAAAAAAACACAAAGAAAAGGCTTGGAAAGGCAGAAAAATAAAAGGCGGCAAAAGTATTGCCTACTTATGGGGGGCACTACAGGCAATAAACAATAAAAAAATAAAGAAAAAAAACTCTTTTAAAGCTCATATATAGCCAAGCGCTTAAACTGCAATCGAAGCGCAATGAGCGAAGACTGGAGGAGGGAGGAGAAGCACCCTCCCATGAAGGACCGTATAGAAGGAGCCATCGTCGTGGTCGTAGAACCATATAGTTTGTTGTCCCCTGAGGGCTCTCTGGCATGTGCAACTATTAGAAAATATAAAACTCTAAGCTACACACACTCACACACACACTCACAACCACACACACGCATCTATGTCCAATAGAAAATTACATAAAAAATTAAATGGAACACAAGCCTTAGGGGGGCCGCCGTCCTCGGCTCGCATGACCATGCAGCAAAAGGCATTTGGAATATCGAAAAGTGTTCAAAACGAACGACGACATGGCATGGAGGAATAAGCAAACACAACAACCTGCAACATTTTGTGGCAACTAAACAAATTAGAAAGTTCACAGTTTTGTTTGTCAGTGACAACTTAAGGTTTATATAAAGATATTCCGATTGGTTGATATTTCAATCAGAAGGAAATGGAAACGGTAATACAGGGTGGCCCATGTAGCGTTTGCTTTTTGATCTTTGACATTTGGAATGGTTTTTCGGTTTACGAAATTGGTTAAGTTTACGCTCAAGAAGAAAATTGGGCAATATTGCAATATGCAAAACTTCTGTGGGCCACCCTATATAAGAGTCTTAATCAAAGTTCTTGCCTTGAGAAATCTGTTTTTAGATTAACCTAGCCGCTAGCCTAGGGTTAGGGATAGTTACTTTGGCTTAAGTATATGCTAGGATCCTAAGATTCTAAGATTTAAAATCTATATTTATACATATATCTTATCCCTACAAATCCAACCCCCCCCTTCAAGGACTATCCCCCAGCTAAGTGAAATGAAATTTACTGACCAAATCCCAGAAAGACTCTCATAATGAATGGCCAGGGTAGAGTGGCTCTGGCTGGCTGGCCTGGTGAAAATGAGCTGACCAAAAAGGATTGCCATAGTTTCTCGGCTCCCCCCAACCCCATCCCCATCCCCATATCCATTCTCAGTGAACTTTTCCACTGATATATGACAGTTGCCAGAGGACGACTGACTGTGGACATGAGGACATTACCGGAGCTGCCAAAAAGGCTTTCAGGCAATGCCACACCGGATGACTCGTAACTCATTGGTGTTTGGCGGAGTTCAAGGCTTGCCAACGCATCCGGCTGTGATTTGTGACTCCGGAATATGGTTATATACGACTATATATATATACTATATAGCATTTAAAGATATACTCACAGTATGTGTCCGTTGTCAGCCGATCGATGGTGTCCTGCTTCAATTTTGAGTTCTTCTTGCCCATGGTGAAGGTTCCTCTTTGGCTTGTCGATGTCGTTGATATTGAAGCTTCTTGTCCTTTTCTAGAGGTTACCTCTCTCTCTCTCTCTCTCTCTCTGTTGCCTCTGACTGGACTGAACAAGTGGGTCAGTGACAGGTAATTGGAGGAGCGTGTCTTATCCTTTTTTCCTCCTCAGTTCGATCTGCAAGTACAAGTGGTAGAAGCAGATTAGAGATAGTCATCCATAGGCAGAATCCCCCCCAAAAAAAAAACCTCCACACACTGTCAAGGCAAAGGCATCATCATCAACATCGCTCATCATCGATGAGGTGGTGGTGGTGGTGAGGGCTCTGCTCCTGCCCCTTTCTTTTGGCTAAGGGTACTTTGATATTTAAGCACGTCAACGCTGGCTTTTTGTGTGGGCCAACAGTGGGGCGGGCAGGCAACACAACAACTACCAACCACCCACCTCAACGAACATCACCGAAAACAAGGCAAAGAACAACCGCAACGACAACAGCAGCCGCAGCACAATGAGGCAGGCAACCTGCCTCAGGGAGGTAGAAGGTGGCAAAACTGTCCTTCAGGTCCTTCTTCACTAGCATGGGCACCCTAACCCTCCCCAAAGCTACCCCCCCTCGACAGTCCCTCATCATTCAACTCAACTAAACTCAGTTGAGCCGAAACTTACAGGCCGAATGAGTTTGGTTTGGTGGTATAGGCCTGGCTTTATCGCCTACGCTGCCTACCAATTTTCCAACCAATTTTCCGAAACCGAAAATTCCTCATTTCCATAGACCAAAAATAGCACTACATTTTGGCCATATTCTTTCTTTCTGCCGCCCCCACCCTCCTCGCAATTTATGTAAAATTTGAAACAGAAATTGCCAGGAATTGTTAGACAATTTGTTGGAATTTTCTTTAACCCATCGATAAATATGGAAATTTCTGTCAGTTCTGTCAGTAAAAGTTTTCATTTATTCGATGGGAAAAACGAGATTAAATGTTAACACTTTTCATTGGCAGTTTTTTACAGGGAAATTATACCTAAAGGTGTTAAACTTAAATGATAATTTCTTTGATTTAACGTGAAAAATTAACCCTCTTAACTGCCTTTACAGGGTATTTAAGCCTTCGAACCTTTCATACCCAAGCCCTCCTCTCTCCTGTTTGCTTTACCTTTTGCAGTTTTGTTTAACCGTCAACCATGACGACAATGGCAGCAGCGACGACAGAGCCATGTCTACAAGTTTCTCCCCCAACTACCCATCACCAACCCCACCCCAAGCCCCTGCTAGAGTTGCGTAATTAAAATTTTAATAATTTCCCAGCCAGCAAGTTTTTCCCCAAAGGGGGTTACACCCTGTCCACACCCCCAGCTCAGGTAAGCAGCAGAGAGAGAAAGTTTTTTAATTCTTTGTTGCCACTTGACAAGCAAATTGCGTGAGACTTTAATTGACTTTGAATTGGCAATGGCAAAGGGTGGGAGGGAGGCCTAAACATCACCGCCCCCCCAACCATCACGTCTCTGCCATAATAATAATTTATGAGCCTTGCGAAAAAACATAATTAGGCAACGAAGAAATCATGACAAATTAGACAGAAAACTTGCATAACGCAATCGTAAAAATAGAGTCCCCCCTCCAACTACTACTGCCTAACCATTTTCATATTTCATTTTACGAGACTTGCGGACAAATTTTGATGACCCCCCCACCACCCAAACGGAAGCTGGAAAAGTCGCAACAACTTTTGATGGAACTTGCAGGCAGGCTGCTGCTAGCTAACAGAGCTACAAAATCCATGGCAAAGTCAACGTGTGGACAGGCCACAAAGACGAGGACGACAACGACGACAACAATTCTCGACGGATGTGCGCCCAAAGTTAACTGCTGACAGTGAGAGAAATGTAAGGAAAGAAAGGGGGGGGGCTAAGGAACAGGAAAACACACAGGAGAAAAGGAAAATTAAACCGACTCCCCTCTCTCCATTGGAAACGAAATAAATTATTAAACAGATCGCCCAGCCTGGCAGCAAGCAATGAAGTCGCCACTGAAACGGAATAAAAGGATAAATAAGCCAGCAGGACAAGTTTTCTACTTTTTTTTAGCAAAAAATAAACATAAAAAAACCCAAAAATTTAAACATAAATTGTTTATGATTGATAGTAGAGTAGAGATATATAACCCACTAAATCATCTCTCTATAATCTCTCTATTTTGTTAACCAAACAAAGAATAATAAATTGAAATCTAATCTATGGAAATTGTCACAAAAAATAGCAAAGAAAAATGAATTAGAAATTAGAAACTAATAAAATGAAAACCCAGGACATGAATAATCCACAAGAAGCTGTGAAAATTGATTTCCCTTTTTCCTTTCCTCTCCTTTCCTTTCCTTTCCTTTCCTTTCCTCTGTTTCTTTTTGAAAAGATCATTTTGGGAGACCTTTTTGGGAAAAAACCCCTTGGAGGAGGAAGCAATTGTAGCTGAAAAGGGCAAATGTTGCCATGGGAGTGATGCCCAGTGCTGGGGTCACATTGACGGTGATGCAACTGCTAACGAACAGAGGAGCCACCAGTGTGTCCACTGCCCACGTTCTTTCACTCTATGCATCCTCCATGCACCCTCCATGCACCCTCCATGTACCCTCCATGCACCCTCCTCTAATGCTTCATATTTCCACCCCTCGGAAGTTGTTTGTGCCAACTGCCTTGGGGGCGTCTCTGTCTCGTCCGTGTCCATGTCCACGTCCACGTCCACGTCGTTGTCTACCCTAGTGTCCACGTTCCTTTCCCAGTCCCTGCCCCTGTCCCTGCCCCTGTCCCTGCCCCTTTCCCTGTCCCCATCCCCACTCCTGCCCCTCTCAATGTCTCTCTGTGTCTGTCAGAGTCGGAAATTGAAAGGAAAGAAAATTGAGCATACTTTAAGGCGCCTCCGCCTTGGCCTTCTGCCTTCTGCCTTCTTCTGTCTCAGTGTCAGTCATGGCTCTCTGATTCTCTACCTCTGATTCTCTGTTTCTCTATTTCTCTGCTGTGTCTGCGCCTCCATTCCTGTCTCCGTTTCTCCATATCTCCTACCAATTCCATATCCGTTTCTTACTCCACCACCTGGCTGTCCATGGGCATTACGCGATTTCCGGCTAGCTCTAAATGCATTTCCCTTCAAGCAACCCCGTAACCAAACCTAATACCCCCATTCACCACCACCCCCCTAAACGTTTGCGTAGAAAATTATATAAAACGGCCATCGGTGTTGGGCCATTGAATTGAATAATTGCCAAACGACTTGTAAACAAGTTTTGCCAAGCAAAGGACAACCCAACCAGCGGTGTCTTAACGTCTAACGAGTTCTAATGCTAATTTGTTTTCGTATTTTGGCCAAGTTCCCCTTTTTCTTCTTCTTCTTCTTAATTTTTCTCTCAATGAACCATGAAACGAGAAGGAGGAGGAGGATACGACAAAGGCTTTTCGTAACTTTCTTACTTGCTTTAATTGCCAGAGCCCAAAACTCGATCAAACTCCGGGCTAAGTAAATTAGTCAATGGCCAAAGTAAGAGTTCGAACTTCTCTGTGATAGAATGGTTGGTAAGGTAAGGTAGGAAAATTTCGTAGGCGTCCATAAATTAAGGAAAATTCCCCAATGAATATGGCAAGTCAAAACTTTGACAATGAACCAAACCAAAACTTTGACCAAAACACAAAAACCAAATGGGAAAATCAAGGAGAAAAAATTTTCAAAAGCAATAAGTTGCCGAAATTAGGATATAAAACCAGTAAAAACCTGTCAGAACCCTTCCTTAACCCTTTCTTAACCCTTAACCTCTGCTGCTGACCAAACATACTTCACCAGGCTGGTAGGATGCCTTAATTTAAGTTGGTTTTCCCCTTCTTTTGGGCAGCAACCAGCAGACACGTCTTGGTTTATTTCGCCTTTTAATGGAATTTTTAAGCAAACAATTATTCACGCCAGCTGAAGAGTGTATCCCCCTTCCTGCCGCCTGCTGCCTGCTCCCTGATCCTGTCTACTCCTTACCCTTCTCTCCCCCTCTTCAAGGAATTGCAATTTTTGGGCAGCCAGCCAAAGTCTCCAACGGAAAGTTTCACAGTTTCACAGGGGGTGTGGTGAGGGGAAAAGGAACGATAGGAAGTGCCAGCTTTGCTGTACCAGTTTTATATCAAGTTTTTCAGTGAGTTAGAAATTGCAAATTGTCAGAAAGAAAAAGCAAAAAAAAGCAGGAAAAAAGCTAGAAAAAAGCAGGAAAAAAGCAGGAAAAAAACAAGAAAAAAGCAAAAAAAAAAACAAAAAAAAAAGCAAAAAAAAGTAAGAAAAACCTTCAAAAGAACTTCAAAAAAGTCTTCAGTGATTGCGTTGCTTTGTGTTTGATTCAAGATTGATTCGTCAGCTGGTTTTCTTATCACCAAAGTTACCATTTTTTTTTTTTTTTTTGCCAACTCTAATGTCCTTGACAAGGCCATTAGTTACCCTCAACGTACATCTTTTCTTTGTAATTTTAAACCAAAAACTTAGTTTATTTACAGCAGATAAGCTACTACTTTCACCAAAACCCCCTCCTCTCCTTTTAGCTCGAAAACTTTCACTGGGATCTCTCATGTGTCTGGCTATTAACTTGGCCCTGTGAATTATGCAAATGCCAGCGGAGAAAGCCGAGCTAGAAATTAGTAATAAAAGTTACTTTCGGTCGAAAGGAGCGTAACGGGATAGGATATAAACACAAACACACAGTAACACACACACACCCCCACACATACACATACATAAGGTACAAACACACAGACACACCAACACGTGAGCAAAATTTACATAACCTCTTTCATTTTGATTTGATTATTTTCATTCAATTTCGTAAGCCACGCGAACGGGCGAAGGCTAGAAAAGGTTGAGAAGAAGAAGGGGTTTTTGGCAGGATTTCAGAGGTTATGTTATTGGTGGAGAAGGATGAGGAGGAGGAGGAGGAGGAGTATGGGAAGGGGAGCTTGGAATCGCTGACGTCGTCTGACGCGTCAAAGCGCAACAGCGGCATAAAGAAGAAGCATCCATGGGACAGCAGAGAGCAAAGCTGAATTAACAAAAAAAAAAAAAATAGAAGGAAAATATTAGGCAAGATGGAGGGAGATTTTTATGGGGAGAAAAAGAATTTTTGGATACCCTATAAAATTAAAAAAATATATATATTATTATT